TGTCACTCCAGGTGGCAGCTCCCTGGGTCCTTCCCCCAAAGCCTTCCTGGAGGCCAGTGGTACCCACCCACCTGTTCTGGAATGTTCCACCACGTGCACCTGAACTTTCTGAGAAAATGAAAAGAAACGAAATGCAGACCCTTGTACGGGAGCCCAGCAGGCACAAGGTTGCTGTGGTTCTCCAGGCTGTGGGCACTCGCGTGGAGGTGTGTGCTGGGCCCGTTGTCTTGTCTGATGCGTGCACTTGGTGTGGAGGTGCGTGCTGGGGGCCTGTTGACGTGGAGGTATGTGCTGGCGGCATGTTGTCTTATCTGATGCGTGCACTTGGCATGGAGGTGTGTGCTGGGGGCCTGTTGTCTTGTCTGATGTGTCCACTTGGCATGGAGGTGTGTGCTGGGGACATGTTGTCTTATCCAATGTGTCCACTTGGCGTGGAGGTGTGTGCTGGGGGCATGTTGTCTTATCCGATGTGTGCACTTGGCGTGGAGGTGTGTGCTGGCGGCATGTTGTCTTATCCGATGTGTGCACTTGGCGTGGAGGTGTGTGCTGGGGGCATGTTGTCTTATCCGATGTGTCCACTTGGCGTGGAGGTGTGTGCTGGGGGCATGTTGTCTTATCTGATGTGTCCACTTGGCGTGGAGGTGTGTGCTGGGGGCATGTTGTCTTATCCGATGTGTGCACTTGGCGTGGAGGTGTGTGCTGGGGGCATGTTGTCTTATCTGATACATCCACTTGGTGTGGAGGTGTGTTGAGGGTGCTGGGGGCCTGTTGTTTTATCCGATGCATACTTTTGGCTTGGAGGTGCACACTGGGGACATGTTGTCTTTTTAAAAAAAAAAAAAAGATTTATTTATTTATTTGAAAGAGTTACAGAGAGGCAGAGGCAGAGAGAGAGAGGTCTTCCATCTGCTGGTTCACTCCCCAGATGGTCGCAATGGCTGGAGCTGGGCTGATTTGAAGCTAGGAGCTAGGAGCTAGGAGCTCCTTCTGGGTCTCCTGTGTGGGTGCAGGGGCCCAGGCACTTGGGCCATCTTCTACCACTTTCCCAAGCCATAACAGAGAGCTGGATTGGAAGTGGAGCAGACAGGTCTCCAACCAGCATCCGTGTGGGATGCCATCACTGCAGGCAGTGGCTTTACCCACTACGCCACAGTGCCATGACCTGTTGTCTTATCCGATGCATGTAACTGGAGTGGATGTATGTGCTGGGGGCGTGTTACTTTACCTGACATGGGGTACTTGGCATTGACATGTGTGCTGGGGGTGTGTTGTCTTATCTGACACGGGGTACTTGGCTTTGACATGTGTGCTGGGGGCGTGTTGTCTTTTTTTCTTTTGAAGATTTTATTTATTTATTTGAGAGGTAGAGTTACAGAGAGAGGGAGAGACAGATAGGTCTTTCATTTGCTGGTTCACTCCCCAAATGGCTGCAATGGCCACAGCTGGGCCTATCTGAAGGCAGGAGCCAGGAGCTTCTTTCATGTCTCTGACATGGGTGCAGGGGCCCAAGGACTCGGGCCACCTTCTGCTGCTTTCCCAGGCCATAGCAGAGAGCTGGATCAGAAGTGGAGCTGCTGGGACTCGAACCAGCGCCCATATGGGACACTGGCGCAGCAAGCAGAGGCTTAGCCCACCTAGCCACAGCCCCGGACCCGGCCTGTTGTCTTGTCTGATGCCCGCACTTGGCGTGGACGTGTGTGCTGGGCGCGTGTCGTCTTGTCTGATGCCCGCACTTGGCGTGGACGTGTGTGCTGGGCGCGTGTCGTCTTGTCTGATTCCCGCACTTGGCGTGGACGTGTGTGCTGGGGGCGTGTCGTCTTGTCTGATGCCCGCACTTGGCGTGGACGTGTGTGCTGGGGGCGTGTCGTCTTGTCTGATGCCCGCACTTGGCGTGGACGTGTGCGCTGAACGCGTGTTGCCTCCTTGGATGCAGCCCCTCCCCCTCACCTCCTCCTGAGCTGGGCGGTGTGGAGACTCAGGAACAGAGCCCTGTGGTCCCTGGGTGGGTCTCGCTGAGACAAGCCTGGACTTTAACACAGTTGAAAGTCACCCCGAATAACGTTGCGGTTTGAGCCTTCCTTTGCGATTGCAAATGAAGGACCTTAGCGTCAGCGCGCAGGCGTGGTCTCACCTGGGGACCGTTTCTTCAGAGCCTGGGGGGAGCATCGTGAGCCCGTGCGGCCTCCATGTTTCCCACTCAGCCCCTCTTCTCTGTGGACATCATAGCCACTGTTGTGGCCTTAGAGATCCCCAGGTTCTCAGGAGGGAGGCGAGGGGGATTCAGGGTTGTCATAGTACATTCTAGAAAGGAGTGAGAGTGGGAAGGGGAAGCAGCCACTGCCAAGGCCACTGTGTGCCACAGGCCCAGGTCAGCCAGTTCTGTCTGGTGCAGTGGGTGTCTGTGCCCGGGGGGCTGCACTTGGCTGACACGCGTGAAGGGGCCTCGGCCTTCTGGCGAGTAGATGCCCTCCGAGAAGTCTCTGGAAGCTTGTACTAATGGGACTCGAGAGACCCCCAGGTCAGCATGGAGGAGTGGCCAAGAGAGAGTCCTGTCAGTCCAGGTCTGACCTCTGCGCCCCCCAGGAGCCCACGACAGCAGGGACTCCTCTCCGAGGCTGGAAGGGGCTCCCTCCACTGGGGGCAGAGTTGGGGGGTGCTGGGCCCTGGGAGTTTCAAACACATGGGAACAACAGCTGTGACCCAAGCACAACTCTGGAACCCTCCAGGCATCCCAGAATCACCACTCCACCTCCCTGAGGACGAGGTGGGCAGTGCAGTCCGAGGCTCGGTTGCAGAGCTGGGAGACCGGGAATAGGGCTGTGGGGAGAACGCAGACAGGACTGCGGGTGGGGGCCAGGCCACGGCTGCCTGTCCAAAAGGGACCCTAGGGCCACACCTGCAGAACCCCAGCGTGTGCTTAGTCAGGCATGGCCACAAGGGGGCAGCAGTGGTAGGAGCAGTGTGCCGACCCAGAAGGGGCTTGAGCGGGACCGACCTCCCAGGTCCCTGGTGTCCCCCAGCCTCCGGCGAGCTCTGGGTTCTGCACATTCAAGCCTCCCCACACGTGTGCTCCTGTCCCCTACCCTGACCGCCCTGTGCCCTGCCAGCCTGGTCACTGGCTGTTTTTTTTTTGTAAGTGAAAATTGTTTAATCATTTTAGAGCAGTCGAAATACAAGATTGATATCTCGGTGTCTAAAGCAATCATTTTATCATATGCATTTAAATCTTTTCTATCACTGGCTGTAATCGTAGCCAGAAGTGGAAGGCCGGGCTGTCTCCATTCTGGGTGGTGCCCGAGGGCAGGGCCAGGTCAGGGACCTCTATCGGGAGAGGAATCTGCTGATGAGACGTGGGAGGTCAGGGCTCAGGCCTAAGACCCACCCTGGGCACGGGTCACAGCCCCGGCAGAACACGGGACTCTGTAATGCCTCTGCCGCTGCTCCAGTGCCCACGTACAGCAGGCTCAGTACCTGAACGCCTGTCACAGGAGCCTGTGGCCACCGGCACCACGGGCCAGCTGGTCCCCCAGGCCTGCAGGCCCTGGCCATGAGGTGGTCTGCCCCTCACTCCTTCACCGGCAGTGACCTGCTCTGGGCCTGACCTGTCCTAGGGGACGGACACCCAGCTGGGCAGCCACGTGTTGGCCCGCTTAGGGGCCGCAGGCCGCAGGCAGGAAGTGAGCAGTCTGCGGCTGGGCGGACGATGAGTTGTCAGGGGAGAAGGGGGCTGGAGCGAGATGCATGTGCAGGGTGGGGGAGGCCAGGAGCAGGGGAGGCCGCGCTGGGGCTGAGGTCTCCACTGGGCCCTGGAGGGCGTCTGAAGGATCTCCTCTGTGGTGGGGGGGGGCTCCTGAGCATTCTGGGTGGGGCTGTCTGCTGTGTTGCCAAGTCAGGGCCAGGGCAGCCGGCAGAGGCGCTCAGTGGAGGAGCTGAGGCGGGAGCGTGGGGGCTGCTGATGGGGTCAGCAGGAGGGCTGCGTGGAAAGACGGCACCCCCAGAACACACAGGGAGAGAACCCTCACTGGATGCCAGGAGAGGACAGCCCGGCTCAGACACAGGCAGGCCAGCAGCTCAAGTTCCCGGCCTCGGCAGCCTTCGCCTCCTCCCCTGGGGCGGCCACCCCCGACCAGGGAGCCTCCCCCAGCTCTCCCACCCCTCCCCACTGAAAGCGGAGCACCCTTGGCTACACCCAGGCCTGGTGCCCGTCCCTGTCAGGGCACGGCCCCCTGAGCCCCTGAGTCCTCACTCTGGGAAGCAAAGTCACAACTCGAGAAGCAGAGCTGTCTCTCCCACGCTGGTCTGCAGGCATGGACCCCACCCCACTTCTGATGTCCTTGGCTGCAGGGCAGGCCCAGGGCCCCCACTCAGTGTGCACTGTGCCCTGAGTCTCCCCCTGGCCCCCAGGCTGCACTTGGTGCTCCCAGTTCTGAGACCGGAGTCTCACCTCGTGGCTGTGAGCAGGGGGGCCAGGCGGCTGCAGCTCAGGAGGGAGGGGCTCCCAGGGCTGCAGGGCAGAGGGTGGACTGAGGGCTGGACGGCCTAGGGCACCCCATCCCCAGGTTACTGGGGGACCTGCCCAGCAAGAGCCATGAGTCTCCCCTCACTGGCCTGGCCTTTCCTCTCTGCCTGCTGCGGGAGCCACCAGGGAAGCCCCTCCCCCACTGGGCCTCTATGTTCCAAGCCCCACCGCAGACCCTCCCAGATTTCGAAAGTCCTTGTGCTGTGCCAGAGGACATTCCAGTCCCTGACTGGTTTTGTTCCTCCTTGTAGCTGGGAATGGGGGCAGATCAGTCCCACCCCCACAGACAGAAAAATGAAGGCCCCCAGCCCCTGCGCCAGCCGGAGCTGCTGTCCTGTGTCCCTGGGAGTGGGAGAGGCACCAGGCTCGCAGGAAGGGCCCCTCCTCCCCGGCTCCTGACTGGACACTCCCTGATGCCACGGCTAGCCTGAGAAGGACACCCAGGTGGCTGCTGGGACTCCAAAGCCTCGGCACCCTACGCAGTCCTAGACAGACGGCCTGCGTGTTGAGAAACGGGCGGCAGCTGACACGTGTGAGGCATTAAGGCCTCACCCGCCCCTGCGCGCGGTGCAGCCCCTGGGGAAGCTTGTCTTTAACGAGGTGGCTTTTCTGTAGCTGCAGAGCTCGGGAGGGCTCCCCGGCTGTGGCCTGGGCAGAGCCGCAGGGACGAGAGCAGTGCAGCACCCTCCTGCCCTGGTGAGTCTGTGGTACTGGACCAAGGCCCAGGCCACGATGAGGCAGAGGCTGGGCGTCTCCCGCGAGCTCGCGCGGGAGCCTCACGGTGGTCGGGCACCCACTGTATGCCCAGCCAGGACCACCGTGGGAGCCACGATGAGTGGGGGCTCTGAAGGTCCAAGGGCTCCCAGGGGAAGGGCGTCGGTGCCAGGCAGAGGGGTTGGAGGGTGGCCTCTGGGTGACTGCCTGCCTCTGGGGGGGTGGCACGAGGCTGAGGAGCAGGTCTGGGGCACCTTGGGTGCTGAGGGAGGGGCTCCTGGGCCCCCTGGAGGGGCTGTGTATGCGGTCATCTGGGAAGAGTGGGGGCTGGGCAGGGTGAACGAGGACTTGGAGAAGCTGCTGGTGGGCAGGGGGCCTGTGGAGAGCCAGGGTTTTGTGGGGCAGAGTTCTCCGCTCAGACGGCGGCCTGGCCTGGAGCCGGGAGAAAGGCTAGGGAGAGGGCTGGGGGAGGGGGACGAGCCCAGGGCAAGTCCCCCTCCCACACACCGCTCCTCCAGGCTCCATGGGGGGCCAGGTGGAGCTGAGGGCCACGAGCAGGTCCAGACACCCGACCGTGTTGGCCTGGGTGTATCTGCGTCGTGTTGTCTGTGAGGACCCACAGGTGTGGGCGTGTGACAAGGACAGGCCTGGGTTCTGAATGTGTGCCTGTGCAGAAGTGGTGACTTTTTTTTAAATGAACATGTACTCGTTTGAAAGGCAGAGTAACAGAGACAGGAGAGAGAGAGACAGAGACAGAAAGAGAGAGAGGGGGCTCCCCTCTCTGGTTTACTCCCCAAATGGCCACAAGAGCTAGGGCCAGGTGCTACGTCCAGGCCTCCCACGTGGGTGGCGGGGACTCAGGGACTCAGGGACGTGGGCCGTCTGCTGCTGCTTTCTCAGGTGCATTAGCAGGGGCTGCCCTGGGAGCAGAGGGCCAGGACTCTGGCATTCTGACAGGGAATGCTGGTGATGAAAGTGGCTTAACCCACCGTGCCACAGCACCCTGAAAGCGATTTCTAGGGCGGAGTGAATGGGAGGCTCAGTCTGCGTGCCGTGTGTGTGCAGCCTTGCACAGCTGTGCAGGCTGAGTCTGCGTGCCGTGTGTGTGCAGGTGTGCACAGCTGTGCAGGCTGTGACTGCGTGCCGTGTGTGTGCAGGTGTGCACAGCTGTGCAGGCTGTGACTGCGTGCCGTGTGTGTGCAGGTGTGCAGGCTGAGTCTGCGTGCCGTGTGTGTGCAGGTGTGCACAGCTGTGCAGGCTGTGACTGCGTGCCGTGTGTGTGCAGGTGTGCACAGCTGTGCAGGCTGTGACTGCGTGCCGTGTGTGTGCAGGTGTGCAGGCTGTGACTGCGTGCTGTGTGTGTGCAGCCGTGCACAGCTGTGCAGGCTGAGTTTGCGTGCCGTGTGTGTGCAGGTGTGCAGGCTGAGTCTGCGTGCCGTGTGTGTGCAGGTGTGCAGGCTGAGTCTGCGTGCCGTGTGTGTGCAGGTGTGCACAGCTGTGCAGGCTGTGTCTGCGTGCCGTGTGTGTGCAGGTGTGCACAGCTGTGCAGGCTGAGTCTGCGTGCTGTGTGTGTGCAGGTGTGCAGGCTGAGTCTGCGTGCCGTGTGTGTGCAGGTGTGCACAGCTGTGCAGGCTGTGTCTGCGTGCTGTGTGTGTGCAGGTGTGCAGGCTGTGTCTGCGTGCCGTGTGTGTGCAGGTGTGCACAGCTGTGCAGGCTGCGACTGCGTGTTTACTGTGTGTGTGGATGTGCACACAGGAGCTCCGGTGGCTCTGACGGGCGTGTGCACTAGGCATGTGTGTTCCTGACACGCATGAGTCATGGTCCTGGGACCTCTGTGCTGCTGTGGGTGTCTCCATACCCCCGAGACTGGGTGATATGCGGAGTCTCCAGACCTGGCCGGTCTCTCTGGCCCACTTGGGGCTTCTTCAGGCCCCGCATCCCCAGGTGCTCTGTGCAATGAACCACGTGAGGTCCAGCTGGTAACCTCCCCCCCACCCCCGGGGTGTCCGTGTGCTGTTTGCTCTCACCCCGTCTGGTTCTGGGAAGTGAGGCTTGTTTCCAACTAACAGTGCTGTTCTCCGTATTAGATACAAAGTGACACAGCTCGAGGCAGCTGCTAAGCCTGCCCTGAGAGCAGGGCTTGAGCGGAGGTCTGGGTGCCCCTTGCTGCCTTGCCAGGGGGCCACAGCCAAGGTCAGGGCCGGAAGTGGGGCTCAGACCTGCCGGGATCGTCCTGTCTGGCTTCTGTCCCTTGGGCTGAGGCTGCTGCCGTCACGCAGCCGAGTGAGACGGACGGTGCCAGGAGCTTTATTTACCATAGTGGGATGACCGAGCGGGAGAACAGGGAGGGTGACACGCAGGAACCACGGCTCACGGCAGCTCCACTTCACAGACGAAAGCCTCCTTGTGCTCCTCAGGACCAGACTACCCCACCCCACGACCCCTGAAAGGCCAGGGCGGGGCTGGCCAGGCGGGGCTGAGCTGGGCCTCTGGGTGGCCAGGGCATCCTGGCAGCGGAGCGGCCGTGACGAGGGCGTGGGTGGCGGCTCTGGAGCAGTCATCCCTGTCCTACTGGGAAGGGGGCCCGGGGCCGAGCTCTCAGCCTTGCACTGTGCTGTCTCACAGCAACGAGTCTACGTAAGGAGCCACCTGAGCTAGGCTGACCCAGCCCTGGGACCCCCCCTTCCCAGGCCTCCTCACCATCACGAGGGGTGAGCAGGTCGCTCCAGGACAGGATGACGTGAAAGACTGGACACCAGCGCCGTGGAGCACCAGGAAGTGAGGACTCCGTGGCCCCCGTGTGCACTGGGACAGCCCAGCCCAGCCCAGATGCAGGCCCTGCAGCCTCCTGCCGTGCCCTCGGGGTGGGGGGAAGATGCCAAGGAAGACCCCTCAGCCTCAGGGACGGGGACGGGCTGTCAGCAGGCTCCTGGGTGGAGAAGCCAGGTGCACGCAGCTGTCGTGATGCAGGGTAGAGACGCCCCCAGGGGTATCTGCAGAGGGGCTGCCGCAGGAGCCCAGGGGGGCACGCGAATGGGGTACAGTGAGGAAGAAGGCTGGAGAGCCCCTCACACAGAGCAGGGCTCTAAGCTGCTCACAGCTGGATGAGGGAGGGCCTCCCCCCAGCACACACTGAGGTCTGACGTGGCTGTCCGACGGCCAGCTCGCCTCCTGCTGGCATGCGCAGGGCTTGCTTGCGTGTGAGCAGTGTGGCCTTGCCGTGATGACTAGGATGGCCAGCTGGCTGAGGAAGGCGGGAGTCCAGATAAACAGTGGGAAAGGGAGCCTGGAATTCATTCCATCCTGCGAAGGCAGCAGAGTGCTAAGCAGATCCAGACGGTGCTCAGGAACGCACCCCACAGTTAGAAATGCCAGGGGCCCAAACAGGCACGCCCCCAGGGCAGCGGACGAAGGCACCGGGGGCAGGTGCCGCGGTCACACCATCACCTGGGACACCTGCGTCCCTATCACAGTTCCTGGGATCAGTTCTTCCTGTTTCCCATCCAGCTTCCGGCTCATGTCCACCTTGGGAGGCAGCAGAAGATGACCCAAGTGCTTGGGCCCCTGTCACCCACGTGGGAGACACAGACGGAGCTCCTGGCTCCTGGCTTCCGCCTGGCCCAGCTGTTGCAGCAGATGGGGAGTGCACCAGCAGATGGCGGATCTCTGTCTCTGTCACGGTGCGGGGGTTGGGGCATGGTTTGTCTCCCTGGGGTGTGGGGGCGCTGAGGCCGTGGACCCTGTAGGAGGCAGGCCAGTGCGTGTCCTGGGCTGAGTGGAGGCCGTTCTGTGGGACCCTGGTCCCTCCAGAGGTTGAGCTGTCCTTGACGCCTGAGTCTGGCTCCTGAGTCTCACTCGGGCTTTGCGTTTGGGGGGCCCCAGCCCAGGGCTCAGGTGTGGCCTCTGCCATGCTGCCCTCCCATGGTGCGCCAGCCCCGGTTCTTGGAGTTAGCTGCTGCTCTGGGTGTGGTTACAGCAACGGGAGCTCCCACTAACCGGTGCGAACGCTGGCTTGATTCAAGGAAAAACTCAGTAACGGCTCAAACTCAGGCACTTCACTGGCAACTGCAGAGCTCCAAGGGCAAGTGTGGCTCAGAAGCTGCGGGGAGAGCGTGACCGCCGAGCACCAGGCCCCCATGTCGTCTCCACTGACACCTGGAGTGAGGCAGGCCGTGGGGACCACAGGCCGTGGCTCGGGGCTGCATGTCCAGCTGGCCGCCCACGGTGTGGGGGTGCACAGACCCCTCAGACACAGGCCCGCTGCCGCAGCATGACGGAGGGCCTGCTCTGACGAAATGTACAAGGAAGCACAGAATGAAGTGGGACCGTAGCTGCTGAGCTGGGAGCCACAGGCCTGAGGCCCAGTGCAGCCAGGAGCGGAGGAGGGGTGGCTGGGGGTGGGGGACGCCGTCGGACACCAGGGTGCACCCAGTGCAGAGGGCCTGGGCGGGACTGTGGCACAGTCAGTCACCTGCTCCCTGGGCTCCCGATGGACGGCTGTGCAGCAGCTGCCACCCTGCCGAGGACACTGTCTGAGAAACCTGGCGGCTCTCGCCATGCAGCACACGGGCAGAGGAGCCTCCCGCCCAGGCTACCCTGCTGCCCCATGGGTTGAACCTTGGAAATGGTGCAGAAGGGAATCGAGGCAGGTCCTGCGTCCCAGACGCCCGACAGCGCTCCCGCACCCGTCCTGAGGTCCTCTCGGCTTGAGTGGGGCTGCATTTCCAGCTGGGAGTTGTCTCCCTGAGGAAGCACCGCCTTGCCGCCCCAGTCACGTGGGCACAGGGAAGACTCGGAATGCTGACCCCAAGCCTGTCCTGTTTTTTCAGTCGTCATTTTTCCTTTGTGGAGTCAGCCTGTTGCATTGTCCTTTATTTATTCGTGTGAAGGGCCGAGTTAGAGAGACCTTCTTGTGCTGGTCTGCTCCCCACATGCGTGCCTGGGCCAGGCCCGGGCCAGCTCCACCTAGGTCCCCCGTGTGGGTGGCAGCGTCCAAGTTACTTGGGCCAGGGAGCTGGATCAGAAGTGGCGCCAATACGGGATGTGGGCCACCCTGGGGCTTAGCCCTGTCTGTGTTTGAAAGTGGGACGCTCTGTTCGTCGTGGGAGGGTTCTTCTGCGTGAGTTTGGATCTCCTAAGCATTCCATTCACGTGCCGCTGATGCGGTGAGGCAGCTTCGGTGACCCTTCCTCTGAATTTCACACCCGAGGCAGCTCCCTGGTTTCTGTGCCCTCCCCAGCCTGCGAGAGGGTTCAGAGGTAGAAGGCCTGAGACTTGACCTGGGAGGACCACGCAGTCACCATGAGGAACCAAACCCTCACCAGAGGTGAGAACGGGCCTGTGGGCTCAGGCCTGGCCAGTGCTGTCCAGGCCCCGGTCCTGGCTTATGTGCCTGTTGAGTGAAGTTGCAGGTGAGCTCGGGCTGAAATGCAGCTGGGTGCAGCAGGCAGCCAGACAAGGAGTGCTGCCCCGACGTGAGCCCTGGTGCTGAAGAGGGTGCAAGACCTCCCCCCTGCTGACCGCCCCAGAGAGCCCAGACCAAGCTGGTGGCAAGCTCCAGGGAGCGGGGCTGGGGTCCGAGCCACTCCTGTCTCGAGCGACTCAGCACTGGGAGAAGACTGTGCTTGGCCAGCCAGCACCCTCTTAACCATGTGTGTGCTGCGCGGGCTCCCGGCTCTGCCCTGGGTGGACTCGGATGCACCCGGCTGCTTCCTGCCAGCCAAGTCCAGGCAGGTACTCTGCAGAAAGGAAAAAATATATTTGAAAAGCAGAGAGAGAGAGAGAGAGAGAGAGAGAGATCATCCATCAGCTGGTTCACTCCCCAAAAGACCACGTCGGCCAGGTGTGAGTCAGGCTGGAGCCAGGAGCCCAGGACTCCATCTGGATCCTCCACGTGGGTGGCAGGGGCCGGAGTACTTGAGCCATCACCTGCTGCCTCCCTGGGAAATCGGCATGTAGCAGGATGAGAAGCAGAGCCGCTGAGACTTGAGCCAGCAGCGGTCCAGTATGGGATGCAGGCATCGCGAGGGCCGCTTAACCCACGCCAGCACACCGCCAGTTCCTGGGCAGGCACGCTGGCACGCGGCGGCTAAGGCCCCTGTGTGTCCCAAGCACCCAGGCGCATGGGTTGGAGCAGGGGGCCCAGACTCTGGCCCCCTCGTGCATCAGGGGTGGTGAGAGTTCAGACCTTGCGGCAACGTGACTCGGGGCAGCAAGGGCACCCTGGTGGGGGCTGCTGGCCGAGAGATGGGGTGACTGTGGGAAGATGGAAGCACTACGAGCCCCTGGCGCCCTGGCTCCTCTTCCCACGGCACGTGAGGGGTACGCAAAGGGAGGGGAAAGCAGAGGCAGAGCTGATGACGTGGCCGCAGGGGTGCGGTCAGCAGGAGGGAAGCAGCTCAGGAGCCTGTGCCCTGTCCCAGAACACACAGGGCTGCCAGCCTGGGGCGCCCTGACCCTGTGGCACTGGCTGAGACTGGGCGTCTGGGAGCTGGACCCGGCAGGTGGATTCCTGTGAAGGCCAGTGCTGTCTGGGAGCAGCCTGAGCTGACGTTCGCTGGCTGCTTGTCCTGTGCTAGCCCCTGGAAACTTGCCGTGCTCTTGTGGGAATGGCGGTCCCCAGGTTACGTTGTGGGGCCAAGAGAGACCAATGGTTGGATGTAGTCTAGGTCCTGCCTTCTGGGCGGTGCAGGCAGAGGTGCGCACAGAGAAGGAGTCACTGAGAGGCAGAGGGGGGCTGGCTCAGACCCCAGCGCGGGGTGAGAGGCATCAGGGAGACCCGCCCCCTCCCGGGAGCGGCCCTGGTTGCAGAGTGTGATGGAATCAGGCCTCATGCAGGTGAGGAGGGGGTGTGGCAGGGATGGGATTCGGGAGGTGCACATACTTGGGTATTGACTGTCCTTGGCTTCCTGGGCTCCCTGGCCTCGCCCATGTCACTCTGGCCCAGTCCCTCGCTGGGTCTGGGATCCCAGCCTCCTACTATGCCTCTGCCCAGCCCAGACAGCAACACCCAGCCCTCAGTGTGGACCTTCCATCCCACCCCTCGCGGGGAATGCGCTGGTTACTCATTGAACGCAGGAGCTGTAAACAGGAGGGCTCCGGCCGCAATCTCCTCGACCAAAGGCCTCTGCGCTCCCTCCCGGCAGGTGCGGGCTTCTCCGCGGGCTCCAGGGCAGTGAGGGAGAGGTCGCAGGAGCCGGTCATGTGGACCAGCTGGTGGCTGTGGCCCCTGGTGGCCGTCTGCACAGCGGACTCATTCCTGGACCAGGCAGTGCAAATCCTGCGGGTCACGCCGGTCATCGACGGGTGAGTGCCTTAAGCATGTGGGGCTGGGCCACTGGGGTCTCTCAGGGCCCCAAAGGCTCGGGGGGGAGGCTGGGGGGCACCAAGGCCTGGTCCCCCCGCCCCACCGCCATGAGTCTGCCTGAGGGAGCCTCACTCCCTCCCGGGCCTCAGCGTCTTCCTGACACAGGTCCTGCCCATCCCGCGGCCTCTACCCCAACAGGGCCCGCCCTCCTCGCCCCGCCGTGCCCTCACCAGGGTGCCTGGAGCATGTGGGGCTCCAAAGGCCCCTCTCTGGGGTCTGCTTCCCACTGACCCTTCTCAGTGCCTCCTCCCACCCTGCCTGGCCAGCCCCACACGGCTCCCAGGGCCATCTTAGCCACCGCCAGTGGGGGAAGTCCTGGCGCCTCCTCGACTTCTCGGCCCGCGGTGGCCCCTGGCTTCTCGTTGCTGCTCCACTCCCCGTGGTGCCCTCTCGGGCTCACCTTGAAGCGGGCCTGCTCCACCTGCACCGCTCCCCCAGCCTGCTTTCCGCGAGTGTCATCCTGGGCACCCCCACTCCGTGGGGTCAGGAGGCCACTGCTGGCACACAGCAGGCGCTCAGCTGCTGGCACTCAGCAGGCACACAGCAGGCGCTCAGCTGCTGGCACACAGCAGGCACACAGCAGGCGCTCATTGCTGGCACACAGCAGGCGCTCAGCAGGCGCTCAGCTGCTGGCACACAGCAGGCACTCATTGCTGGCACACAGCAGGCACTCATTGCTGGCACACAGCAGGCACACAGCAGGCACTCATTGCTGGCACACAGCAGGCGCTCAGCTGCTGGCACACAGCAGGCACTCAGCTGCTGGCACACAGCAGGCACTCATTGCTGGCACACAGCAGGCACACAGCAGGCACTCATTGCTGGCACACAGCAGGCGCTCATTGCTGGCACACAGCAGGCACACAGCAGGCGCCTGTGATTCTCAGCAGAGGCTTCTGGGCTTTGTGAGAGGAGAGGCAGGGAGCCGGTGTCAGCCCCAGGGCGCCCTCTGTCCCCTGTGCTCTGCTCCTTGCCCCTGTTGGCTTCCCGGGCATCTTGTGCCACATTACAACACACTTGGTGGGGGGCGCCGGCTGCACACCCCCTCCCCTGGGCTCCCCTGCTCGAGTCCCCAGGGTGGGCGTTCCAGGCAGGGGGGTCTGGCCTCCCCCCAGAAGACACCGACTGTAGGAGCTGGGGCGGGGCTGTTGCTTCTTTCTGGGGGCTCAGGCAGCTGGACACAGATGTGTCCATGCTCTTGTCCAGCACTGGGGCTTTGCAGAGGGGCCCGCAGAGCCTGGCAGGTAGGGGCACTTGGGCAGCAGGGATTTGGAGGAAGATCTGGGATCACTCAGGTAGCCTGGCAGGTAGAGGTCTGCAGAGGGGGCCAGCAACCAGAAACCCAGAGGCATTGTGCTGTGGTGTTCCTACGCCAGGACTTGGCATGGCCACAGTTTGGCCTGATATGGCCGCACCAGCTCCAGCCATTACATGCCAGACAGAAGGAAGGAGGAAGGACAAAGGGTGGGAAACAGCTGTCGGGAGTCTGTGGAAGCTGTCCCGGGAATGGCCACACCCAGCTGCGGGGGAAGTGTCTTGGCTGATAGTGGGGGAATTTATCTCTGAGGAGCAGCCCAGTGTCTGCTATTGTCCCAGGAGCAGACCCTGCCCAGGCCACACAGATAAGGATGGCAGATCTGATTGGAATGTGGCTTGGCCTGACCTTAAGGCAGAGGAGTCCTTGCCCCTGGGACACTGCAGGGAGGGTGGGGTGGGGCGAGACGGGGAGAGGGGGACATTGGCCCCTGTGCTGCTTCTGCCTCCCAGGGTGGCTCCCGAAGTGCTGGGGGCCGCATTCAAGGTCCCACCCACTCCGCGTGGGAAGGGCTCCCTGGCCGGCCATGTGTGTCCCTCCCTGGGCCCCTGCCCCCAGCACCTCCCTGGCCAGGGCTCAGCCCATCACAGTGCTCTTGGAAGTGACACCTGGGGCAGGTGGGCAGGTGCTCCCCGGGAGCCGACCGAGGCCCTGCCAGCACCTTCCTGGGGAGGCTCGTGGGGTGCTGGGTGCACCCCTGGTGCCACGGGGTGGAAACAGGATGTGTCAGCAGCCCAGGTTTCCCGGAGGCAAAAGCTGGCTGGGTTTGGATTGGCCCCTCCTGGAGGCGTGGCTGCCCTGAGCTGCTGAGGTCGCTCAAGGATGAAGCCCCAGGAACACGCTCAGGGCATCCGTGCTGCCCCGTGATGTGCCCAGTTACTCATTCACCCTCACAACCTGTTCCCTGAGCGAGACCAGGATGCCAAGTGGAGATGCCAACTAGCGCCCCCGCCCCTCCCGCACACTCTCATGCAAGGAGTGCCCCCAGGCTCCTACCTGCAGGGGGTCCAGCCCGGGGATGGGGAAGTCAGGCCCAGGCACCCTGCAAGCGGGGGTGCGGGGCAAAGCCCCCTCCAGGCTGTGCTCACAGCCTCTGGTTGCCAAGTCGTGGAGGCCCCTGTGTGTGTGGCTGACTCAGGGGTCCACTCTGGGGCCCTGGGACGGGGAAGGCTCCCGGCCCACTCGGCCCTGGCTGAGGCTAGCTCCTCTCCCATCAGAGTGCCCCTTCCTGCTGGCTTCTGGGGGAACCTCAGAACCCCAGGCTTTAGAAGTTGGGTGCAGACTCTCCCCAGGGACACAGGCAGCAGAGGGGCCTGGGCAGCCCCAAATCCTGTGTCTGACAGCCCAGCCCCCTCCCTACAAGGGGCTGATTTAATCTTCAAGCTGAAAATTGTGTGAGCGAGCAGGAAAGAGAATCTTGTTCTACACAGCCCCTCCCTCCCCCCTCTCGGCTCCCACCCAGGGAAGACCTTGGAGGGGAAAATCCCCCGGCTCCGGGAGCCGCTCTCGGCTCTGGGCTGCCTGCCTGGGGGAGGGGCACCTGCGCACAGGTGTGGCCTCGGTTCATTCCGGAGCCCTGGAGGAGCAAGTGGCGGGGAAGGCCCAGGTCCAAGCTGTTCCCTTCCTTGCCCATCCCAGGCACAATGACCTGCCCTGGCAGCTGCTGAACAAGTTCAACAATCGGCTGCAGGACGCGAGGGCCAACCTGACCGTTCTGGCCGACACCCACACCAACATCCCCAAGCTGAGGGCTGGCTTTGTGGGGGGCCAGGTATGGGGGTTCCCCCTGTCTTCCCTGGGCCTGGCTGAGGGTGACCCTCCCTGGGGCATGTACCTCCTGAGGCCCTGGGTGGGGACAGCTGCTCATGCCACAGGCAGAGCCCCCAAGCTGGGTGGGAGCCCCTGTGTGCGGGGGTGTTGCCTGGCCTGGTGCCCTCAGCTTCTGTGCGTGTCCCCAGTTCTGGTCTGCATACACGCCCTGCGACACCCAGAACAAAGACACGGTGAGGAGGACACTGGAGCAGATGGACGTGGTCCACCGCATGTGTCAGCTGTACCCCGAGACCTTCCTGTGCGTCACCGACAGTGCAGGTGGGCCGAGCAGGGTGCTGGCGTCAACTCCTCCTGGGTGCCCGTGCCCACTGCCCCTCACTCCTGGACCCCTCCCCACAGGCATCCAGCAGGCCTTCCGGGAGGGGAAGGTGGCCAGTTTGATTGGTGTGGAGGGCGGTCACTCCATTGACAGCAGCCTGGGCGTCCTGCGGGCCCTCTACCGCCTGGGCATGCGCTACCTCACCCTCACCCACAACTGCAATACGCCCTGGTGAGCTCCCCACGGCAGGGACCCCAGGGGGTGGCCGGGAGGAAGGGCTCTGACCCTATCTCCACCGCCCTCTTGGGCACCTGCTGTCTGCCCTCCCAGGGCTGATAACTGGCTGGTGGACAGAGGGGACGACGAGGCCCAGAGCGGAGGGCTGTCAGTCTTCGGGCAGGTGAGCTGGGGTGGGTAAGACCCCAGTACCCCTAGAGGGAAAAACAGGTGGGGGGTGAGCAGCCAGGACCTGGCCAGCAGGAGTCGCACCCCCGGGGCCCACTGGTGCTCCCAGTGCTGAACCCTAAGCCGCCTACAAACCTGCAGGGTTAGTGCCTGCCCCGCCCCCAGCCTCGGCGGTGGCTGAGGCTGGTGCCCTGAGCCCCCTCTCTCGCAGCGCGTGGTGAGGGAGATGAACCGCCTGGGTGTCATGATCGACTTGGCCCACGTGTCTGTGGCCACCATGAAGGCCGCTCTGCAGTTGTCCACGGCCCCGGTTATCTTCAGCCACTCTTCCGCCTTCACCGTGTGTGCACACAAGCGCAACGTGCCGGACGACGTGCTGCAGCTGGTGGTGCGGAGCGGGCGTGGGGGCCGGCTGTGCGTCCTGGCCGCCTCTCTGCTGTGGGGTGGGGAGGACGTGGGGAGAGGGCTGTGCATCCTGGGCCACCTCTCTCAGCTGTGGGGTGGGGCGGTCGTGGGGAGAGGGCTGTGCGTCCTGGCCGCCTCTCTCAGTTGGTGGTGCAGAGCGGGCGTGGGGGCCGGCTGTGCGACCTGGCCACCTCTCTCTGCTGTGGGGTGGGGCGGGCATGGGGAGAGGGCTGTGCGTCCTGGCCGCCTCTCTCTGCTGTGGGGTGGGGAGGACGTGGGGAGAGGGCTGTGCGTCCTGGCCACTGTGCCTCAGCGGCACCTCTCCCACATCAGAAGGAAACGGGCAGCCTGGTGATGGTGAACTTCTACAACGACTATGTTTCCTGTGCAAGTGAGGCCACCCTGTCCCAAGTGGCAGGTAGGTGGGGCATGGCCAGCCACAGCGGGCAGCTGGAACCCGTGGTCTCGCATGGGACCCACACCTGCTTTCCGCTGCAGACCACCTGGACTACATCAAGAATGTGGCAGGAGCTGCGGCCGTAGGCTTCGGTGGGGACTTTGACGGTGTTACAAGGTAGGGGAAGAGCTGTGTCCCGTGCACAGCAGGGAGGCTGTGACCACCCGCATGGCTGATGGGAACGTGTGTCCTGAGGGCCTGGAACAGCCCCAGTGTGAAGAGCCCTCTCTCGCTGGCTCCGGCACAGGCTCCCTGTGGGGCTGGAGGACGTGTCCAAGTACCCAGACCTGGTCGCTGAGCTGCTCAGGAGGGGCTGGACGGAGGCGGAGGTCAGGGGTGCGCTGGCTGAGAACCTGTTGAGGGTCTTCCGGGAAGTGGAGCAGGTGAGCAGGGCGGGCGCCCTGGCTGCCCCACCTGTCTGCAGCCCACAGGCTGCCCACCTGTGTCTGTCCGCAGGTGAGCAACCAGGCGCAGGTGCCCGAGGAGGAACCCATCTCACTGGAGCAGCTGGGCGGCTCCTGCAGGACGCAGTACGGCTACTCGGAAGCCCCCAGCCTCCACCGCCGGCCAGGGGCTCTGCTGGCCTCCCTCAGTCTCCTGCTGCTCAGCCTGGGTCTCCTGTAATCCCCGGGGACTGGGGGCCGCGTGCACTTACGCACCTGCTGCCCCCACATCAGGCCCTGGGCCCACCAACACCGACAGGCCTGCTCAGGACACGAGCAAACCACAACCCTCAATAAAAGCAAGAGCCCTGCAAGTTCTGAGGGTGTGGTCAGTGCCTGGCCCTCGAGGGGGACCCCGAGCGCCCGAGGGGGCTTTTGTGAAAATGTCCCGGCTGCGTGTCAGCGCACGGAAGTCCCCGAGTTCTGGCAGGTGAGGGCCAGGAAACCCGGACACCTGGAAGTGCTTTGCTCAGACAGTGCCTGAGGGTCTTGGGAACACATGGCCGGGGGCCCCTTCTCCCAGGTGCTCGTCGGCACGCTCACATGCTCACACGGGCACACGTGTGCACTCACATGTACCCACACGTGCTCACATGCCCACATGCACCGACGTGTGCATTCAACGTACACACATGCACCAGACATGTACTCAGGGCACTCACACACCCACATGTGACCACACATGTACACATATGTGCAGTCACCCATATGCACCCACATGACTCATGCATCCATTCATATGAACGCCACACCCCCCATGCTGCCTGGAAGATCCATCCCCTTGGTGGAGCCCTTCTGCAATGGGAACCCCAGCGCCCCCTGCAGGTCATCTCACACCACAGAGCAGGTCCCGCACCAAGGCCACCTGGTCCATGGGGAGAGCGGCCAGCACCATGCCACACGGCCTCAGGGGTCTTGAGCCTGGGGCGCGGCAGGGCCTCAACACATCACAGCTGCCTTTCAGGCCAGAGTGTGGGAACACATGGGCAGGGAGTCCTCGGCCAACACAGACCACTGTGGGGCAGGGGCTGGGCCCTGCAGGGCGCCCCTTTCCTCCTTACTCTGAGGAAGTGAGGCCCCTCTCTGGAAGGCCAGGGGGAGGGGCTGAGCAGTCCTGTGACTGGGCTTCGGAGTCCCCCACAACCACGCCGCCACAGCGGGAGGCGCAACCCTGCAGCCCTAGGGCTCTTAGGGGTTGGCAGACAAGCTCTCCCCTGAGCCACGGCCCCACAGATTAACTACTCACGGAAAACCAACCAGGGTTTTTGCATGTTTTTCGGGCTGGGGCCGGGGCGAGCCAGCAGAGGTCCCCCTGGTGGGCTGCAAGGGTATCGCAGCGCCTTTGCTAGGAGGAGTCCTGAACTAATCTTGACCGCGTTAAAATGACACGTGGCTCAGAAAGAGGCCCCAGCACCTGCCACCCCAGGAGGAGCCTCTCTGCCCATCTCGCATTCACCGTGCCGCCCGCTCCCACCTCTGGCCAGAGGCAGCAGACCCAGCACAGGGCAGCACCTGCCCACACGGGGGCTGCTTCCATTCACGTGTGAGCTAGGACGAGGGGCAGCGGGCACCAGGCCTCAGGAGACGGTCTCCCTGAGCAGGGTGCGGACGGAGAGGCTGCACTCTGAAACCACTCTGTGCACAAAGTAAACGGGCAGAGGCCAGTCTGAGGGGGAGGGAGTTAGTGGACCCGCAGGACCACACACACCGAGGGGAGCCCATGGGGTGTGCGTGGAGGTCGCGGACGCCCAGGCCACGTGCTGAGGGTCTGCCAGCAGTGACACAAAGTGCCAGGAAGCACGCCTCACACCAGATCCTGGCTTCTGAAATCCTCTCCCCACTAGAAGGAACCCGGGCCGGGGCAGGGAGAGCAGGAGGAGCCCAGCATCCCGCGGCATGAAGGGCACAGCACTGCTGCAACCTGTGCATTCAATACGGGAAACGCCAACCGGCAAACCAGCGTGAGCGCTCGGCACAGTGTGGCCCCGCCCCTCCCACAAGACGCTAACGAAGGGGACGGCGGTGGCTGTACAGAGCGGGTGCTGGAGAGGCCGCCTGGCCGCGAGGCGAGGTCAGTGACCAGCGCCAAGCAGTGACCCTGCATGCCTGGGCAGTGCTGGAGGCCCAAGGAGAGGGGCGTCGTGCCAATCAACTGGCCAGCGTGTGCCAAGAAAACGGAGGATGGCCACGAGCTGCGGGACAGCAGGAGGCTTCGGGAAACGCAGCGTAAATCCCGGAAGATGCGGCGGGCAGGGCTCAGGCCCCGTCATGACACAGCATAAATCCTGGAAGACGCGGGGGCAGGGCTCAGGCCCCGTCATGACGCAGCATAAATCCTGGAAGACGCGGGGGGCAGGGCTCAGGCCCCGTCATGACACAGCATAAATCCTGGAAGACGCGGGGGGCAGGGCTCAGGCCCCGTCATGACGCAGCATAAATCCTGGAAGACGCGGGGGCAGGGCTCAGGCCCCGTCATGACACAGCGTCCTGGTCTGTCCCGAGCGAGCAGCTACACGGTGGACCTGGCCGTCAGTCAGTAAGGGCATGTGCTGTGGGAACTAGGAAGTTCACTTAGGGACAGATGCGGAGGTGAGCAGAAGCCGTGTACCCAGTTCAAATTATTTCGAAGTAAAACTTAACTCTGGGGGCAGGCACCGGGCCCAGTGTGGGCCCCGTGTCTGTGGAGTGCCTGGGCTTACTCCCGGCTGCAGCTCCCGATTCCACTTTCTTGGATTGTGTGCCCAAGAGGCGGCAGGTGACGGTCAAGTAGCTGGGTCACTGCCACCCACACGGAGACTGGGACTGAACTTCAGCTCCTTGGCCTAGTCCTGGCCATTGCGGACATCTGGGGAGTGAACCAGCACATGGAGGTCTGTCTCTCACACGAAGAAACTGCAGACTCTGATTCTCGGCCAGGCGGGGCCTAGGAGCGTGCGTTCTCTCAGCGTCCACCCCCCCGAGCCCCAGGGTGGCGGCACTCACCACTTCCCAGCCCCTCCCGAAGCACCAAAGCACAGCTTGAGAACGAGTTTTCAGGGGTCCATCCGTTTACTCCAGCAGTGTTGAACAAATGGGAAGTCGTGCCCTTCTCCCTGCCGGAGCTGGCCTGGGCCCTGGCTCCTCTGCACTGCACTCTGTGCCCAGGGGGCCGAGGAAGCTCCCTGAGAACAGGAGACATCAGCACCCCCTTCACACTCAGCAGAGGGTTAACTTGGGGGAGCCCATGGCCTGACCCTGCCTGGATCCCCAACTCCAGGCCCCACGCATGCTGCCCTCGCCCTCAACGTGAGCTCCCTACTGCAAACCCCAGGGCCCCCAAGTCCAGATCCGGGAGGACTGGACACAGTGGCCAGGTAAGGGTCTGACTACAGCGCAGCGAAAGTCAGCCTCCGTCTGTAGCAGCGCGGAAAGCACTGGTCACAGCGAGGGGGCTCGGACCCAACACCCCATGCGCAGTCTGCTTTCTACTTGGCAAAAAAAAAAAAAGTCACGAAGTAAACTTTAGGAAACAGAAGAGACAGCAGCCTCTGCCCGAAGCCCTCAAGTCATCCCAGCAAGTGCCAGTGAGCGGCCCAGGCTTCTCGCGCAGGACACGGCAGCGCGTCATCCTCAGAGCTGCCACTGCTGGCCAAGCCGACGCCCCCTTCACCAGCCACTCTGGTCAGAGGGCAGGAAGGGCGGCACCCACGTTATCTGTAGTGATCCGAGCGGGTGACCACAGGTGGCATCACCCCGAGGCGTGAAGAGCCCCAGGGAAAGGTGTGGCACTACTGCTGTTTGGACAGAGAGGCCGGGGCTCCAGGCACCTGCAGAGGCAGCCTCAGCGCAAGGGCCTGGAGGTGGATGGCGGGCCTGCCACTGTGGCCTGGACACCCTGGAGGACCAGGAGAGCCAAGGGCAGGAGGCCGGGTGAGGCCCAGCTGCAGTGGTGGCCCAGGCCCCATCCCTGGAATGATGGACGAGGGGCCACCCTCTGCCAGGCCCCAGAATGCCCCGGCTCACACACAGGCCACTGGCACCACCTCAGGGCCATGTCTGTGCACAAGACAGGGGCTCTGTCCGCCTCAGGGGCAGGAGAGGCCTCTGGGAGCTGCCTGGCGGCAGGCAGCAGGTCTGCTGTCCCACGCACTCGGAGAGCCCCACGGTGCGAGGCTGAAGTTCCCAGGAGGCAGAGGGGAGCCCTACCAGTGTCCCTGTGGCTGGCCCAGAGTCACACAGTCACCCCACATGACTGTGCAAACAGCACTGGCGAAGACGCACCGCCCGGCCGCAGAGAACAGGAGGGTTCCAAGGCCGTGGAGGCCTGGCAGGTGACACCAGCTGAGAGGCGGGGCTGTCGCTCAGCAGAAAGGCAAGACGCAGTGGGGAGCAGCGGGCGGTGCACCAGGAGGGCCTGGCTAATTCCTCAAGGCGGCCAACCTGGAAATCCAAAGACCGGATGAGACAGGCAGGGGCAGGACCATCCTCAAACGCTTCATGTCGCTGTGTAAGCTGCCCGCTGGGGAGCCACAGCCCCGAGCCCACCCGAGCCCACCCTGTGGTCACATTCCTCCAGCCTCGGCTCATCCAGGCTGCCCTGGGAAACGGGGACCCCTGTGCTCCCAGCTCTGCTAGGGAGCAGTGTGGGGGCCCCACGGCTGATACGGGCTCAGGAACCTTCCATGCAGGCCTGACCCTGGGCCAGGGTACAAGCGGCACCGAGTACACATGGAGGTGCGGCTGTGTGGCCTGCAGCCCCAGGGCTCAGGCGCGCGGGTGAGCACGTTGCAGGGGCACGGGTCCCACCTCCGCGACAGCTGGTCCTCCTGGCTGCGCGTGGAGCTCTCCCCCACGGCAGCGGCGCCCTCGGGCAGCTGGCTGAGCTGGTCCAGGACTTCCAGCCCGTTCTCCTCGGCAATCTGCACAATGAGGCTGTCGACCTGCTCCTGAGGCGTGGTCAGCGTGGTGGCCGAGCTCATGGAGTCCTCCATCACCTGGGCGGGGGAGGCACGCGCTAGGCACAGCTGGAGCCCCCACCCCGGAGCCCCCTGCACGGCTGCAGGGCAGCTCCTCCGCGTTCTCACGGACTCCCGCCCCCACCAGCCTTCTCACCCGTCCGCTCTGAAGGCACTGTCTCTGGAACCCTTCCTACCACCAGCTCCTCCCAGCTCCTCCCTCGTACCCACATCCACCTGCTCTGTGCGGCCCCTCTCTACGCCTCGGTGTGCTTGTCCACCGCCTGGACCTCCCCAGAGGACCATGGTACCCTGGAGGTGGCCCCCGCTGTCCCGGCCACACCCCTGCCAAGGTCCTGGCTGGAATTCCGCACACAGGAAGCGCGTGAGTTGCCCGGAAGAGCGCCTGTCGCCCGGGAGCCACCTTTCCTGACCACCGAGGCCACGTACCGACGTGTGCACATCCAGGTTCTGCACCTGCTGCTCGAACCTGTCCATCACGGCAGAGACCTTCTGCAGGTCCATGGTGCTCAGGGCCTTATCCAGGGCTTTGGTCACCTGTGCCATGTTCTTGGTCACCTGGGACAGAAGCGGGTTGACAGAGAGAACTGATTAAAGGATCTGCCAGGAACAGGTCCTCTGAACTCAGATGGGAGCCAGGGCCTCCTGGCCACGCCCAACAGAACTCCAACCCTGAGTGAGGCACCACTCAGTCCTCCGGAAACGCTGTCGCACAAGGCGGTGTAGTGTGCAGTCACTTCGGGACAGGCGCCTGCTCACCGCCCTGTCTGTCTGCCGAAGTCGGGATCTGAATCCACTGCCCCTGCCCAAGTCAGGACAGGCCTGGCCCCGCAGCTCCTGCGTCTCATGTGACACCGCAAAAATGGAAGCCCACTGACGTTCCCTCACACGCACGGGCGCTGCCCCGCGGCCCAGCCTTGCCTGTGCCCACAGCTGCACTCTGGACACTGGCCTGGACCAGCTGGTGGAGTGGTCCTGGGACCCTCACACTCACCCCCTTCATGGTCACAGCCGTCTGCACCTTGGAGGCCACAGCGTCCACCCGGGACGCCATGCGGAGCCAGTTCACGCCTTCGTTCTTTTTGCGGATGGCGTTCTCAGCATACACACGGGCGCACTCCACATTTTTCTGCTGCAGGGCCTACAATTCAGGGGGCAACACTAGCTGGGAGAACCCGGTGGTTGGTCTGTACAAACCCCGCCTGCCCTGCCACGTGGCCGGTGCTGACCCCCAGGGGCATCGTCTGCGGTCGTGGGTCAGCCCTGCACAGCTCTCTCCAGTCATCAGAAACGCCCAGGACTCAGCACCACGTGTGCCGAGGGACAGCGAAACGGCAGCAGGCTGCTCTATGGAGGTGGGGGCTGTTCCCATGATGCTGTGGGCCCCACTGCAGCACCCCCAGGCCTCACACTTGCATCTCACAGAGCCAAGGACAGGACAGGTGACACTCAGAGGCCACAGGAGGCAAAGCTGCAGGTGGAAAAGGCACAAAGCCACACCTAGGCTTCCAAGACCCCTGTCCGTCCCAGGCAGCCTGAGTTTGGTTGAAATCCAAATCCAGTGCTACCTCAGCAAGGAGGCAAAGCTGTCAGAGCGCCCCCCTTCCTGCCTTGCACATTTCTGGGCAGGGGACCCCTCCCAGGAGAAGCCCCCTAGGGAGCCTCCAGCCCTGCCCCTTCCTGTGGGGACACACCATACCTCTGGCCAGACCCTGACGCCCACGGCACCAGCTCCACACAAGAGGGAGCCAAGCCCCGTGAGACTGTGGCAGGGGCAACTAGATGCCTGCTTCCTGCACAATGGAGGGCAATGGCCAGTCAGAAATTCAGAAATGGATAAAGGAATGGACACAGAAGAAGAATAAGCACCACACACTCATCTCCTGACACCCTCGGTGGGCGGGCGCAGGCAGGCAGCACCGGCAGGGTCTGGTGGGAGCCCCACCCCGTGACCATGCCTGCTGTCTCTACGTGGAGGCTCCGACGTGGAGAGCGAGAGCGGCCAAGACGGCACGCACGCCGGCGCGGCCTCACCTTCTTCACCCTGGCCTGCTCAGCCTTGGCGTCCTTCTCCGCCTTCTTGGCCAGCTTCTCCAGCTGCTTTGCTGTGAACTGTGCAGAAGCCACAGTGGCCGGGTCAGGCAGAGCCCAGCTGCCAGGCCCCACCGCCCTCCAGCCCACGCTGGTTCCTGGCCACCGCCAGCTGCACCCAACCCAGAGAAGGCTGGACTGCTGCTGCCGTGCCCCTCACGGCCGCCCTGGCCTGCACGGCTGCACTAGGGAGGAAACTGCCAGTCTCTGAGGGGCCCCTAGAATGCCCCGGCCTGAACACTGCCAGAGAGGGGGCTCGGAGGGCAGCCGCCTGCCAGGCGACCCAGGCCACAGAGAAGGTGTTTCAGGCCACCTGAGCGACAGCACAGAGGTCAACCCCCACCGGAATACGTGCAGACGCTGGCTTCTTGCTGGGAATCCCAGTAGGGAATCAGAACCCCGGACCCTGGCCACCGTCACGCCTGCGTCTGTTCCCCTGACTGCTCCTGTGGGCGTGTCCCCACCACAGCCTCGAGTCAGCGATGTGAGGACACTCCAGGGCCGCAGTGAGGCATCTCAGAGCCGGAGGAAACCAGCACAGGCCAAGCCTGCACCAGGACCTGTGAAGTCAGCCGCGGGAGGCGGCAGAGGCCAGCCTGGGGAGAGGCACACTCGGCTGTCCCGAAAGCTCTCCTCCAACTATGACTTAAAGGTTTTAGGCCACAGTCTGAAATGCTGAGTGGGACGTCAAGGCATGCACACAACACCCAGTGGCGTTGCTTAGAGCAGCGTCTCCTGGCTGAGCCCGAGGGGCCTTGCCCACTCGGCCCCGCGGGCAGCCAGCTGCGCCACTGCCCGGCTGGCAGCCCGAGCTTGTGCTTCTGCGCCGGGCGGTCACTCACACACCTTCAGCTGGAACAGCGTATCTGCAGAGAGAGCAAAGCGTGAGGACGGGGCTGAGCAGCGGCAAGAACACAGGCGTGGACCACACCGCTGAGGCCTCTGGTCCCCGCTAGCCACAGGGAGCCGGCACGTGCAGCCCTCCGGTACCGGTGCTCGTTAGGAGCGTGACGGCGGCGCCGGCTGACCACGAGAGTAAGCATGAAAGGCTGGCGTGGCACAGCAGGGTGAGTCTTGCCAACTACACTTTCCAACCCAGCTCCTGGCTAACGTGCGGGGAAATGGCAGACGTCCAGGCAGCTGGGCCCCTGCACCTGCGTGGGAGACCAGATGGAGCGCCAGACTCCCGGCTTTGGCCTGGCCCAGACCTGGCTGTTGCAGCACACCCGCGGATGGAAGACATCTCTCTCTCTCTCTCCTGTCTTAGTCACTCTGCCTTCCAAATAAACAAATAACTGTCTTTAAAAAACAGGTCAGTGTGAGGACAGATGAGGTGAGTTCCAGCGGCGCTGACAGTGAGCGCGGCTTCGTCTTCCCGTGTAAAGGGTCCCACTTGACGCTGTTCACACACCAAGGAGAACGGAGAAAGTGTAAGGGGACGGCCTTCCACGGCCACCACTTCTGAGCCGGGGGTCTGGCCCAGGGCACGTCCTGCCCACACTCGGCAGCTGCACCCACTGACATCGGGGCTGGTGCTGTGGCGGGGCGGGGAAGCCCACCGACACGCGAACCTGCTTCTCCCTCGCCAGGCGGAGCTGCACCGGCTGCAGAGAGAGGAAGCCCAGTTCCGAACGGCTTCACCACATGACAGCCTAGAAGACCTGGGCAGCCAGGTTCTGAGATGTCCCACTGTTAACCACAAACACGGAGGGGAGAGAGCTGGGGAAACCAGCAGTTCACAGCTGGCGGGGGCCGGCGCTGTGGCCTAGTGGGTTAAGCTGCTGCCTGCAGTGCTGGCATCCCATATGGGCACTGGTTCAAGTCCCGGCTGTTCCACTTCCAATCCAGCTCCCTGCTATGGCCTGGGAAAGCAGAAGAAGATGGTCCTTGGGCCCCTGCACCCACGTGGGAGACCTGGAAGAAGCTCCTGGCTCCTATCAGCACAGCTCCAGCCATTGCGGCCAACTAGAGAGTGAACCAGCGGATGGAAGACCTCTCTCTCCTCTGCCTCTCCTCTCTCTGTGTGTAACTCTGACTTTCTTTTTTGACAGGCAGAGTGGACAGTGAGAGAGACAGAGAGAAAGGTCTTCCTTTTGCCATTGGTTCACCCTCCAATGGCCGCTGCGGCCGGTGCACCGCGCTGATCTGAAGGCAGGAGCCAGGTGCTTCTCCTGGTCTCCCATGGGGTGCAGGGCCCAAGCACTTGGGCCATCCTCCACTGCCCTCCCGGGCCACAGCAGAGAGCTGGCCTGGAAGAGGGGCAACTGGGACAGAATCCGGCGCCCCGACCGGGACTAGAACCGGTGTGCTGGCGCCGCTAGGCGGAGGATTAGCCTAGTGAGCCGCGGCGCCGGCCAATAACTGACTTTCAAATAAATAAATCAATCTTTAAAATATATGTATTCTAAAACAAAAACAAAAACAAAACAAAACAGCTGCCTGGGAAGCCAACAGGTTGCTTATGTAAACACTCAGCTAAATCCCATCGGCTCCTCCCCGGCCTGGGGACCCTCCTCTCCCACGCTGCACCCCGCCGGCCAGGGAAGGTTCAGCGCGGGCCTCCTGCTTCGCTCCCCCAGCTTTGCGAGAATATTCTCAGCTCTCGGCCTGCGGACGTCGTCCAGCTGCTACCGAGCCCTGCCGCTGGAGCGCCCCGGACCTGTGCCGGCTCCGCCAGCCCGACGCCCGTACCGGAGGAAGCTGAGGCGCCAAGCCAACCTGGGCACAGGTGGCCCTGCCCGTCACCCTCCCTCCCAGGCCCCGCCTTCCCTCCCGGGAAGCTCGGCCCGACGAGGCTGTCAGGCGGAAACCCAGCCCGGGAGCACAGAGGGGCGCCGCAGAGAGCCCCGCGGGCGCTGCCCACCCTGCTCGCCCCGCGGCGTTCACCGCCGCCCATCACACCGGCTTCCCTCGGCGCAGGGCGGCCGGGACGCGGGGCAGGGGCCCGGCGCCTTCGGTCCGCGCCTCCGGGCGGCCTTCCGGGCCAGGGACGCGGCCGCCCCCTTCTGGGGTACCCTCTGAGCTGACACTCGAGGGCCACGGCCAAGCGGACAGCGCTGGTCACGCCTAGTACCCGGGCTGCGGCGACAGGGCGAGGGGGTCCGGAGTGGGAGCCCGAGGCCCCCGGGCCGGGGGGGGGCTCTCGATCCCGGCCGCGGCGCCCTCCCCGCGTCCCCGGAGGTCCGGCTGCCCCTCACCGTCCATGGTCAGTCCGGCGGCGGCGGCCCTCGGAGCGGCGCAGGGGACGCGATCGCAGCGGCCAGCTCCGCCCAGCGGGGACTTCCGGGGTCGCCGCCCGCTTCCGGTCGCGCGGCCAGCTCTCGCGAGAGGCGGGCGTCCGCGCGGCGGCACCGGCGGGAGCGGTTGCCGGGCGACCCGCGGCGTCGCGGCCCGCGGACATGTCGCCCTTTGTGAGTCACTCGGCGCCTGGCCGCCGGGGAGGCGCAGGGACAGTGGCCTGCGCCGGCGGGGGCGGCGGGCTCCCCTATGGGCCTTTCCAAAAGCAAACCCAAGCACAGGAAAGGTAAAGGCCGCGGGGCGCGGGTCCCGCGCGGGCGCGGGCGCGGGGCTGAGCGTGTGCGTGCATTTCAGGTGAGGAGCCGAAGCGGGGGTTCAGCTGCGCCGTCCCCAAGGGCGAGGACAGGCAGGCGGAGAGGCCCTCGCAGGGGGCCAAGCCGCCGGACAGGGCCGCCGCGAGGCCCGCGGACAGCCTGCACCTGGGGCCGGCGTCCAGGAAGCCGCAGCGGCCGTCCGCCTCGTCCGAAGGTAGGGCAGGCACGGGCGCGGGGCGCGCGAGGCCTCTGGCCGGCGAGGACACGGCGTAGCTGGGGGCGCAGCGGGCGGCGGCCCCGGAGTGAGGCCGCTCCGGACGGTTCATCGCGAGGGCGACCGTGCCCGCCCAGGACCCGCCCCGGGCCGGGACCGGCCGCTCCTGTCGTCCGGTGAGCTGCCGGAGCAGGGGCGCGGTGGTCAGGCCGGCAGGACGCGCGGGGGGACACGGCCGGCGGGGCGGCGAGTCGAGGCCGGGCAGGGGCCAGAGGCCCTGGGCTCTGCAGAGAGGCCGGCCCAGAACGCCCGCCGGAGCAGCCGCGTCCCTGACGGGGGAGGGTCTCAGGAAGGCCCACCGCCCCACCGGGCACTGCCTGACGCCGGGCCAGGCCGGTGGGGGCACTGCCTGACGCCGTGGCCCCGGAAGCGTCTGTCACTCACCCAGAGGAGCGGTGGGTCCGGGAGCCAGAGTGAGGAGGGTGAAGATGAGGGGCCCAACCCCAAGGCAGATCCGAGCTGCAGGCCCCCTGTCTGTGCCTCTGCCTGTGGCCTGGCTGGCTCCCTGGTTGCCCAGCACTGAAGCCACATGGCGGCGCTGTGGCTAGCGTCGGTGTCTCCCAGGGCCAGACTTGGCAGTGAGGTAGCCTTTGGGTCTCCCCAGCCTGGCTGGCCCGTGCGCTGCAGCAGCCAGTGGCCATGGCCAGCCCGGTGAGTGTACACCTCAGACGACCAGGCCAGCCGAGCCTTCGGGGGGCAGCTGATGTGTGCACCCCTTGGGAAGCCACAAGTGACCAGTGTCCAGTCCAGCCACACCCACCCTGCCGTCCTGATCTGTAAGACCGTGAGGAGGTGAAGTTGTCTGACGCTGCCCAGGCCGGTTATGCCGTTGTGCCGTCAGAACCAGGCAGGGTGGGGGCAGACACTAGGTTTGGCTGCTGGGTGATGGGATGGACAAGTACTAGCCTGTTCTCACTGTTGCGCGTATCCTTAGTTTTCAACCAAGATTTTATTTCTTTATTTTCCATTTATTTGAAAAGCAGCAGTCAGGGCTGGGCCAGCTGAGTCGGGACCTCCACCCAGGTCTCCCCTGGGGGGGGGGGGCAAGGCGGGGCAGGGGAAGTGGATGTGAGCAGGGTGGAGGCTCTGTGCTGTGCAGCCCAGCCGTGTGGTGGTCAGTGTGTGCTGTGTGTGAGGGGTCCCCAGCGAGGGAGGGGGTGGAGGGTGCATGGACTCTGTGCTGTGCAGCCCAGCCGTGGCGGTGGTCAGTGTGTGCTGTGTGTGAGGTGTCCCCGGCGAGGGAGGCGAGGGAGGGTGCATGCGACCTTGTGTTACTTTTGCAGCTTTCTGTGAACTTATAATTCTTTAAAAATTCAGAAAGTATCAAAAGTTAGTTCCATTGCAAGAGTGGGACCGAGAGGGCCTTGCGTATTCAGGGCGTCACCGAGGTGGGCAGTTAGGGCCGTGTGATAAGGATGCGGGAGGAGGTGGTGCTGTGAGCTCGCGGCCCGTGCTGAGGCAGACTGGGGAAGGGGCTGCCACAGCCTGGAGGGGCTTTGTGCCGGCGCACGGGGGGGGGGGGGGGGGGGGCGCTCTGGCACCTCTTGCGTCTCAGGACGAGAACAAGGGTCGGAGCTGCTGGGTCGCATTGAGAAGCACGCCGCCGAGCGGCGCCACCTTTGGGCCACTCGTGGCCTGGGTGGGAGTGGGCTCACCAGCGGGTGCCCACTGCATCCGCAGCTTCCCACTGTCACAGGGTGAGTCCAGAGAACAGAAGGAATCGACCTTAACGAGGTTTTGTCCAGGAGCCAGCAGTGTGGTGCAGGGTTGGCTGCCTCTTGCAGTCCCACGTCCCTGCTGGAGCGCTGGCCACTGCTGCTCCTGGGAATCACTGAGCAGTGGCCCCGGCCATGCACGTGGGGACCCGCGTGACTTCCTGGCTGCCCTGGCTCTTAGGCCATGCGGGGAGTGAGCCGGCAGATGCAAGATGAAGATCGCCCTCTCTACCTCCCTCCCCCCTCCTGATACTCTTTCAAATAAGTCTTTAAAAACTTTGAATTTTTTTTTTCTGTTTCACCCTTTCTCTCTCTGCCTTTCAAATAAAAAAAATCTTTAAGAATCTAATGAAAAATTTAAATTTGTTTCATTTGAAAGCCAAAGAGAGAGACAAAGACAGGGATCTCCCACCCACTGGTTCATTCCCAGATGTCCACAAGAGTCAGAGCTGGAAGCTCCCTCCGGGTCTCCCCCATGGATGGTAGGAACCCGGCTACCTGAGCCATCACCTGTCTCCCAGGGTCTGCATTATCAGGAGTTTGGAATTGGGAGTGGAACTGGACTTGGCCCACACATTCCGATTTGGGATGCAAGTGTCCCGAACAGTGTCTTCAGCACTGTACTAAATGCCTTGAAGACACAAACAGATGTTCTCGTACTTTTAAATAACCACTGAAGCCGGCGCTGTGGCCCTGTGGGTGCTAGTTTGAGTCATGGCCCCTCCACCTCGGATCCAGCTCCCTGCTAATGCACCTGGGAAAGCAGTGGAAGATGGCCCAAGTCCTTGGGCCCCTGCACCCACGTGGGAGACCTGGAAGAAGCTCCTGGATCCTGGCTTCAGGTCGGTGCAGCTCCAGCTGTTGTCACCATTTGTGGAGTGAACCAGGGGATAGAAGGCTTCTCTCTCTCTCTCTCTCTCTCTCTCTCCCCCCTCCCCCTCTTCTCTGTGTAACTCTGCCTTTCAAATAAATAAATACATCTTTTAAGATGGTGACAACAGCTGGAGCTGTGCCGATTGGAAGTCAGGAGCTCCCATGTGGTGCAGGGGCCCAAGGACTTGGGCCATCTTGTACTGCTTTCCCAAGCCAAAAACTATTTTTAAAGGCAGACAGAGAGATCTTCCATCCACTGGGTCACTCCCCAGATGTCAGAAGAGCCAGGGGTGAGCCAGGTTAAAGCCAGGCATCCAGAACCCCGCCCAGGTTTCCCACATGGTGGCAGGGACCCAAGGAGGGTGTGCACTAGCGAATGCTAGATTGGAAACAGAGCCAGAACCCAAACCCAGCGTCATGGATGCTGGTGATAGAAGCAGTGTCTTAAATACTGCCACAACACCCCCCCCCCAATACTTAAATAATGATTTGATTTCTTTTTTTATTTTTAAAATTATTTTATTTATTTGAGAGGCAGAGTTACAGCCACAGCGAGATCTTCCATCTGCCGGTTCATTCCCCAGATGGCTGCAACAGCCAGGGCTGGGCCAGGCCAGAGCCAGGAGCCAGGAGCTCCGTCCAGGTCTCTTGTGTGGGTGCTACAGACGGTGCTGCCCCACAATGCCACCACCATGCCAGTCCTGTGATGTGAGTTCTTAGTGGGGAACATCTTGATAAACCTCAGGCAAAGAGAGACATCACAAAAACACAGAGCTATGTAAAGATGGAAGGCACTTCCCCAAGCACTGTCAAAACAAACGTGCAACAAATAGCAAGCTCAAAAAATATTTACAACATAGATGAGAGCCAAAAATACCACATTGGGAATAGGTCAGCTGCCCTGACACACTCAGGTCCTTGAGGGCAGGACTCCCAAGACACCCCCCCCCCCCGGGTGAACTGCCCTGCTCTTTTTTTTTGACAGAGAGAGACAGAGAGAAAGGTCTTCCTTCCGTTGGTTCACCCCTCAAATGGCCGTTATGGCTGGCACTGTGCTGATCCGAAGCCAGGAGCCAGGTGCTTCTCCTGGTCTCCCATGCGGGTACAGGTGCCCAAGCACCTGGGCCATCCTCCACTGCCTTCCCGGGCCACAGCAGAGAGCTGGCCTGGAAGAGGAGCAACTGGGACTAGAACCTGGCGCCCCAACCGGGTCTAGAACTCTGGGGTGCTGGCGCCACAGGCGGAGGATTAGCCTAGTGAGCCACGCGCCAGCCCCTGCACAAGTTAATCCCCACCCTACCTGGTTCCAGTCCGGGCTGCTCTACTTCGATCCAGCTCCCTGCTGATGCGTCTGGGAAAGCAGCAGAGGATGGCCCAAGTGCTTGGGCCCCTGCACCCACGTGGGAGGCTTGGGTGGAGCTCCCGGCTCCTGGCTTTGGTCTGGCCCAGCCCTGGCTGTTGCAGCCATTTGAAGAGTGAACCAGTGGATAGATCTCTTTCTCTGTCTTGTTTTTTCTTCCTTTTTTTTTTTTTTTTTTTTTTTTTTAAGATTTATTTACTTTATTTGAAAAAGAGAGAGAGAGACTGATCTTCCACTGGTTTACTTCCCAAATGGCCACAAAGGTCAGGGCTGGGCCAAATCAAAGCCAGAAACCAGGAGCTTCTTCTGGGTCTTCCACGTGGGTGCAGGGGCCCAAGGACTTGGACCAACCTCCACTGCTTTCCCAGGCTATAGCAGAGAGCTGGATCGGAAGTAGAGCAGCCGGGACTTGAACCTGTGCCCATATGGGATGCCGGCGCTGCAGGCTGGGGCTTTACCCACTATACCACGGCGCCAGCCCCTGTGTGTGTTGTTACTGTCATTACTCTAGGGCTCAGAATGCTGGCTGGCACAGGATGAACGCCGAGTACACGGCCTCCTCGTCTCCGCCAGTTCCTCCTGCCACGTAACTGGGTCCATGAGGTGTGGGTGAGCAAAAGCAAGCTGACAGCCGAGTTCCAGTCTGATGGGGCTTCTGTGACAAGGGTGCTTCTGGAGAGCTCTGTGTGGGTGTACACGGACACCTCTCTGCTCTGACAGGATGTGCCCTGCGGGAGGCCTGAGGCTGAAGCCTTGTATTCTGTAGCATCTCACGCTGTCCTTGTAACCTGAGCAAGTTTCAGGAATTATGGGCAACGCTGGAAATGTCCGTCTGTTGCATAGTGGGGTTTCAGCACCGTTAGCATCCTGTGGGCTGCGTCCAGGTGTCCTGACCCCCCCGAGCCTGCCAGCAGGCGGTCGCAGGGTCCCTTCCTCGGGACACAGTGTGGTGCTGACGGCCGCACGGCTGACGTATCTGCTTACAGGTCAGCACGCGCCTTAGTAGTTTGGGTTGCTTTTGGGCAAACCGTTTCTCTTCCTGGTAGCCACACATCTAACTCCTTCTCTCTGGCCTGAGACAGGCATTGTGTGCACGTGAGAGCAGCACCCCACACCTGCCCAATGCCGGCATCTTCTTCCCTGTAGACAAGGCCGACCCAAGGCAGCCGCTGGGCCAGAAGAGCAGCACCATTCCAAAGATCACCATCACACGGGCCTCCAACGAGACGCTCGTCAGCTACAGCTCTACCGAGAGCGACGAGCAGAGGACCATCCGGGAACAGGCTGAGTGTGGCCCCTACCAGCGGCACAGGAACCCCAGTACCATTGTGGCCTACAATCTACACTCCCAAGAATAAATGAGCACCCCGGTAGCTGTCCTTGGTCAGTATGATGCGAGTCTCAGCGCTGGTGGCCGCGGGCTGCCCCGGCCTCCTCCCACTGCTCCGTGACCGCCTGGGTCTTCCCTTCCCCAGAGCTGCTGGCAGCCTGGTGGAGGGCGACCGTGACTGAGGGCCAGAGAGTGAACGTGTGACAATCAAGGACTCAGGCAGCGTTCCGTGGTGCGGGCGCTGGCTGTGCAGTGCTGAGCCGACGGCGGGCGCCTCCTGCCGTGACAGCGCTCTCCACCGTCTCCCCAAGGTGGGCGAAAGATCCGATTTTGAGGACTGACCCTGCAAACGGAAAGTCCAGTGAGGAGTGTGCTGGGGGTCGGGGCCGGCTTTGCTGGTGGCCTTGTCCTTCTGGCCAGTGGAGGGCCCCTCAGGAAGAGCCCAGGGCTGCTGGAGACAGTCTCAGCCCAGTCCACCCTCAGCCGTGGCCCTCACGTCTGCCCTCACACATTCAGGGCAGAAACGGAATGTTGGGTTTGTTAGCTGGAGACTGGCTGGTGGCAGGCTCCAGGAGTCCTGGCCTCGGCGGGCTAACGGAAGGGACAGAGCCTGTCCACCAGGGTGATGGACACAACCTTGTCAGTGCTGGGGTAGGGAGTCTGCAGCCTGTCTCATGTGTTTCTTTTCTTTCTTTTTTTTAGTAATTTCAAAACGATTATTTTCACTGTATTTGAAAGGCAGGGAGACAGAGATGCAGGTTCATCCCCTAATGCCTACAACAGCCAAAGCTGGATCAGGCCAACGCCAACAGCCTGAAACTCCATCCAGGTCTCCCACGTGGGTGGTGGGAACTCAGTACCTGAGCCGTCACCTGGTAGCAGAGAGCTGAGGCAGAGTCCTGTGGGCTGGGCCAGGCATCCGGTGTGGGACGTCAGCTGCACAGCTAACCTACCACGCACATGCGTGCAGTCCTACTTAAATGCACATATGTAACCTAGATGGGTTTAAGAAATGAATTTTCAAAGTACGGTATGAAGATAGAACACTGTTTAAAGCTAGGGTGGGGAACCTTATTTCTGTTAAGGGCTGTTAGGATATTTGACATCTTTGTGGGCCATACAAAATTATCAACTTAAAAATTAGCCTGCTCGGGGCTGGCGCTGTGGCACAGCGGGTAAAGCCTCTGCGGTGCCCACATCCCATATGGGTGCCAGTTCGAGTCCTGGCTGCTCCGGGAAAGCAGTGGAAGACAGCCTGGGTCGTTGGACCCCTGCACCCGCGTGGGAGACCCGGAGGAAGCTCCTGGCTTCGGATCGGCGCAGCTCCGGCGATAGCAGCCATCTGGGGAGTGAACCAGGATGGAGGACCTCCCCCCCACCCCCACCCCCGCCTCTGACTATAACTCTGCCTTTCAAATAAATAAAATCTTAAAAAGCCTTAACAGAAATTGACCAGCTGTAGATTCATTGCATTTTGAATGTTGCAGTGCGCAGGCCACCCCTTCCGCACCCCTGGTCTGAAGGCTGTTTTGCATCAGTGTTTTGAACCGCCCCGGGAAGGAAGCGGCAGCGCTGCCTTGCTGACCCGAGGACTGGCGCCCCGGCGGTCCCCTCCTCACCGGCCTCCCGGCGGCGCTCCGAGGCTGGCCCCTGCCCCTCGGGCACGCCGGGTCCGTCTGTCCGGGAGCGAGCGCGCCCCTCCCCGGGCACCCTCCGAGGACCCTCCCGCCTGGACCGCGGAGGTCGGAGGCGGATCCCGGGAATCCGGAGGACGCGCGGGCGTTCCCATGGTAACGCCCGGAAGCGGGCCGCGCGCCTGCGCGCAGCGGAAGTGGCGGGCCGGCGTCCGGCATGGCGGAGCCGGAGGCGGAGGCCGAGCAGATCCGTCTGAAGTGTATCCGTAAGGACGGCTTCTTCACGGTGCCTCCGGAACACAGGGTGCGGGCAGGGCCGGAGGCGCACGCGGGTGTCGGTCGCGCTGCGCGCCGCAGTTTCCCGCGGGCGGCGCGGGCGCTCTCCGGGACGGGTGCCGGCTCAGGGTGCCGCGCGCCTGGCGAGGGCTGGGGCGGCTCCCGGGGAGGGGCGGGCGCCCGCGGCTGAGCCGAGGCGGGAGCGGCTGGCGGGGGGCGGGGGGCGGGTTCACCCCGGGGGGCTCCCACGGCCCCGCGTGCGGCCGTCCCGTGAGAGCCGGCAGCCCCACCCCGGGACGCCGCCAGGTGCCCAGGCGGCCGCGACGAGCGCGCGGCGGTGCCGGGGAAGGGGAGCTTCCCCTTGGTGGACGCAGGTGCGGAGGCGTGGCCGGGCCAGGCAGTGCGGGCGGACCCCAGGGGTGGACCCCAGGGGTGGAGGAGTGCAGAGCAGGGCGCGCTGTGCGTGCAGCGCCGGGCGTTGCTGCCTGTGAGTTCCCAGGGAGCGGTGCTTTATTTTTTAATTTTTAAGTTTTATTTATTTGAGAGGTAGAGTTACAGACAGTGAGAGGGAGAGACAGAGAGAGGTCTTCCCTCCGCTGGTTCACTCCCCAAATGGCCACAACAGCCGGAGCTGTGCCGATCCAAAGCCAGCAGCCAGGAGCTTCTTCCTGGTCTCCCACGCAGGTGCAGGGGCCCAAGGACTTGGGCCATCCTCCTCCACTGCCCTCCTGGGCCACAGCAGAGAGCTGGATCGGAAGTGGAGCAGCTGGGACTAGAGCCGGCGCCCACGTGGGAAGCCGGCTCCGCAGGCCGAGGATTAACCTGCTGTGTCGCAGCGCCGGCCCCAGTGCTCAGTGATTGTCTTCCTGGCCACGATCCATCCAGCCAGTACTAAGCCTTTATCTTTTGACCAAATTAAACTTATGTTGTGATTCCGTTTCCCACCAAGTTTCTCAAATCCCTGCTGAGCCCACGCAGCTGTGGCCCCTGTACGGGCACAGCACGGTGCAGGCTCTGCTGGGGGAGAGACGGCAGTGGCTCAGGTGAGACAGGGCCCTGTGTCTCCCCCAGCGTTCCAGCGCAGCTCTCCGGCAGGTGGAGCAGGCGTCCCAGCCTGCAGGGCTGTGGGAGGCACGCGTGCCCGGCTGGCAGGGGCCGTGAGGGCCGCGGTGCCGGGTGGGTGTTCTCGTGGCTGCTGCTGCTGTTGGACGACAGGCACCTGTGTGGATGCGGGTGGGCTCCAGGGAGCACGTAGACCCAGCTATGCCTCACTCGACAGTGGCCCAGGGCCAGTGTAGACCCAGCTATGCCTCACTCGACAGTGGCCCAGGGCCAGCGTAGACCCAGCTATGCCTCACTCGACAGTGGCCCAGGGCCAGCGTAGACCCAGCTATGCCTCACTCGACAGTGGCCCAGGGCCAGCGTAGACCCCAGCTATGCCTCACTCGACAGTGGCCCAGGGCCAGCGTAGACCCAGCTATGCCTCACTCGACAGTGGCCCAGGGCCAGCGTAGACCCAGCTATGCCTCACTCGACAGTGGCCCAGGGCCAGCGTAGACCCAGCTATGCCTCACTCGACAGTGGCCCAGGGCCAGCGTAGACCCAGCTATGCCTCACTCGACAGTGGCCCAGGGCCAGTGTAGACCCAGCTATGCGTCACTCGACAGTGGCCCAGGGCCAGTGTAGACCCAGCTTATGCCTCACTCGACAGTGGCCCAGGGCCAGCCTCCCCCTTCCCGTGACAGCCAGGTCTACGGTTGCTTTTCTGTTGGGTGAGCGAGACGTGAGCAGGATCCTTGGTAAAACGAGGTACCAGATACCCCTTCTCAGCCGTGCGTCAGCTCCCAAGTCCCCGCACTGGCAGCGCCTCTCTCTTTCAGCTGGGACGATGCCGGAGTGTGAAGGAGTTCGAGAAGCTGAACCGCATTGGGGAAGGAACCTATGGCATCGTGTGTGAGTGCCCAGCGTGGGAGGCCTGGCCACAGCCCTGACACGCGTGGGCCGGGACGTTGCCACGGCAGCCGCTGTGTTGGGGCTGGAAGGGCTGATCCCAAAAACTTGTTCAGGAACCTTACTGTTTTTTTGTAAGGCAGAGAGGGAAGGTGATAGAGGTGTTTCGTCCACTGGTTCATGTGGGCCTCAGGTGCCCTCAACAGCCAGGATTGGGCCAGGCTGAGGCCAAGAACCTGGAACTTAATCCAGGTCCCCCCTGGGGGTGGTGGGGACCCAAGACCTGGAGCCATCACTGCTGCCTCCCAGGGTGCGCATTACCAGGAAACTGGATTGGAAGTGGAGCCAGAACTCGAACCCCCACCCTCCGGTAGAGGTTGCAGGCACCCCGGGCGGAGCGGCACTTCACCGCTGCACCTGCTCGCTCTGTAAAATGGACAACTTCCGGGGAGTGGAGCTCCGAGCAGCTGGGACGTCCGCGAGTCAGCTTCCCAGAGCCACTGCGCTGGAGAACCTTGTCAACACAGCCACAAGCGAACACGGGCCGTGGTCTGTGCCCGAGAGGGAGGGCACACGGCGTCTCGCACGACGGAGTTGCACGAGGCCAGAGTGCCCCAAGAAATCAAACTGGACGCCTGCGGCCAGCTCCACAGAGGAAGCCCCGAGGAGCGCGTGTCTCGGCTGCGGGCGTTGCTCGTGTGGAGAGAGAACCGAGCGTCAGGAGCGCGGATCGACCCGGACCTGTTTCCCTTGCAGATCGGGCCCGAGACACCCAGACGGACGAGATTGTCGCCCTCAAGAAGGTGCGGATGGACAAGGAGAAAGATGGTGAGCCAGGAGACGGCCCAGGCCGCGCGGCTGGGACGGGGGGGGGGGGGGGGGGGGGGGGCGGGGGGGGCGCCGCCCCCGAGCTTCCGGGGGCTGCACTCGCTCTGCCGGCGCCTGCTTCCCCCGGCGCCTTGGCGTCCTCAGCCCGGATCCCTGCCGTGTCCTGTCCGGGCTCCCTTCACCTGCCTGGCAGGTGCCCGTCCCCCACTGCAGCTCACACGCACGCGCTCCTGCTTGCTGGGCTCCCGGCATCTCCCTGCCGCGGGGGCCCAGCAGGCCTCGTGTCCGTGACGCCCTCCTTGCAGGCATCCCCATCAGCAGCCTGCGGGAGATCACGCTGCTGCTCCGCGCCCGCCATCCCAACATCGTGGAGCTGAAGGAGGTGGTGGTGGGGAACCACCTGGAGAGGTGTGGCCCCTGCGGCCCTGCCCCTGCCCCTGCGGCCCCTCCCCGTGCGGCCCTGCCCCTCCCCATGCAGCCCCCTGCCCCTGCGGCCCCTCCCCGTGCAGCCCCCTGCCCGTGTGCCCCCTGCCCCTGCCCGTGTGACCCTCCCCGTGCGCCCCCTGCCCCTCCCCGTGCAGCCCCGTGCCCCTGCGGCCCCTCCCCGTGCAGCCCCCTGCTCTGCCCGTGTGACCCTCCCCGTGCAGCCCCCTGCTCTGCCCGTGTGACCCTCCCCGTGTGGCCCCTGCCCCTGCGCCCCCTCCCCGTGCGCCCCCTGCCCCTCCCCCTGCCTGGGCTGCCCGTCTGCTGGCGCAGAAAAGGGCAGCTGTGCTATCGCCCGTGCTTTTCCTTCCAGCATCTTTCTGGTGATGGGATATTGCGAGCAGGACCTGGCCAGCCTCCTGGAGAATATGCCCACGCCCTTCTCTGAGGCCCAGGTGTGTCGGTGTGGGTCGGTCTTCCTCCCCTTGTCTGCGTTTCTGTGCTAGACACGGCCCCGGGGTGTGTGCGACACTGCTGCCTCACAGCACCCCGGCAAACTTTGCTGAGGGGAATTACTGCCCAGGGTGCCTGCAGGACAGCTGGGGCTCCAGGCCCCTCCTCGTGTGGCCAGTCCTGGGCCAGCCCCAGCAGCCACCTGGCTCCTGAGGCTGCTGGTGGCCAGGCCAGGCTTCCCCAGCTGATGCCTGCCCTCTGCCCTCTGCACAGGTCAAGTGCATCGTGCTACAGGTGCTCCGGGGCCTCCAGTACCTGCACAGGAACTTCATCATTCACAGGTGTGCGGGAGCCGCCTGGACGGCCGAGGGGGGTCTCTGTGATGGGCCAGGCCAAGGACATGTTAGGGTGGTACGGGTTCCTGACACAGGGCGCGGTAACCCTGGCCTCCAGTAGCCGCATGTTCTGAGTACCCTCCTGGAGAGTGCACCTGGTCAGCAGCCTCACCGTGGGGAAGCCACCCTGGCGTGCTGTGGTCGCACAAGGGAGTGGCCGAGGCCGAGCGGCACGTGGGCTGTGGCGTCTGCTGCCCGGGCAGCTGCAGTGCCGGCGCTCGAGAAGGGCGGGGCTCAGCGGCAGGTGTTCTGACCACTGCCCGGCTTCCGTGGTTGGAAGGCTGGAAGCCGAGGAAATGCGGGGAAGGCGTTTGTGAGTCGGCGGTGCCCTGGGCACACTGTGGAGCTCGCTTCTCTTTCTGTCCCAGGGACCTGAAGGTCTCCAACTTGCTCATGACTGATAAGGGCTGTGTGAAGACAGGTGGGTACCAGCTGCTGGCCTCACGGACGTGGACGCGTCTCTGGGCGTTGTTGGCCGTGTGACCCTGGGCCTCTGAGTCCAGCCGTTACCCCACTGGCTGACACACTCCTCCCTCCTCTCTGCCTCTGTCACAGCGGATTTTGGCCTTGCCCGAGCCTACGGTGTTCCGGTAAAGCCGATGACCCCCAAGGTGGTCACACTCTGGTGAGTCCCTCAGAAGTGTGGCCCCTGGTGACCAGCTGCGCCTCGGGGAGAGCTGTGTGGGGGCCCTGTGAGTTGATGGCGTCAGGGCTATGCAGGCTTACAGGGCTGTCTCAGAAGGCGTGACAGCTGGACCTGACCTTGTCCACACGAGCTGTGCCCTGCCGGGAGACGGGCAGGAGCCCTCTCAGGAGGGGCTGTGCCGTGGCATCGTCAGGTGGCCTCCAGCCTCGTGTCATTTAACCCTCGTCCCCAGTGGAGTGGTCGTGCGCAGGACAGCCCCTGTGTATTCAACACTTAGAGCAGGGCTGCCCAGGCTGAGCAGACCCGGGACAGGCCCTCAGGGAGGCTGGGCCGGAGGACGGCCCCTGTGCAGAGGGAGATGGGTGTGTGTCTGCAGGTACCGTGCCCCTGAACTGCTGCTGGGGACCACCACCCAGACCACGAGCATTGACATGTGGTAAGTGGTGACGCTGCTGGGGCCGCGGGGAAGGGCTGGGGCAGGAGTAGGTCCCCTGGCCCCCCGGCTCAGCCCTGAGGCAGAGGCAGGAGTGTGGGGGGGTGGGAGGTGGGGTCCTTGAGAGGTTGACCCTGGGAAATGTGAGCGCAGGCCTTGCACTGAGCTGCAGAGGCGGTCCTGCCCTCGGCCTGGCCTGGGGCACTTGCACGTGCCTGCGGCCCGACGTGGTCACGCTGGCGTGGCTAAGCTGAGGCCTGCTCTGGCCTGCAGGGCCGTGGGGTGCATCCTGGCTGAGCTGCTGGCCCACAAGCCCCTTCTCCCTGGCACTTCCGAGATCCACCAGATCGACCTGATCGTGCAGCTGCTGGGGACACCCAATGAGAACATCTGGCCGGTGGGTATCCTGGCCCCTCCCCCAGGCCGGTGCCCTCTGTGGCTCTAGCTTCTGCCCCCCACAGGGCTTCTCCAAGCTGCCGCTGGTTGGCCAGTACAGCCTGAGGAAGCAGCCGTACAACAACCTGAAGCACAAGTTCCCGTGGCTCTCGGAGGCTGGACTTCGCCTGCTGAACTTCCTGTTCATGTACGACCCCAGGAAAAGGTGCTGAGGCAGCGCGGGCTGCTCTGGGGCCTGGCTGCGAGGGGAGGGGTCCCTAGGACGGAGGCCACCGAGCCCCTGCGGGGTGAGAGCGGGGGCTCACGCAGGCTGACGGCCCGCCTTCCTGCAGGGCGACAGCCGGGGACTGTCTGGAGAGCTCCTACTTCAAGGAGAAGCCCCTGCGTGAGTCCCCACCCCACAGCCTCTGCTGTGCCAGGCTCCCTGGAGCCCTCTGGCTCTTGGTGGTTGGGCTCCTGGTACAGGCCCACCGCGGTGGGCTGTGTGCCCTGGGTGAGGACCCCTCGAGGGGAGGGGGTGAGGGAAGAGGTGGAGGCAGGGGTGGGCCTGGGGCAGCCCAGACACAGAGCTAGGCTCAGGCTGGCGGCTCGTGCCCCAGCCCCGCTGCCCTGGCACCCCTGTCCACCAGCACTGACGCGCCTCTCTCCCCCAGCCTGCGAGCCTGAGCTCATGCCCACCTTCCCCCACCACCGGAACAAGCGGGCGGCCCCGGCCACGGCCGAGGGCCAGAGCAAGCGCTGCAAGCCCTGACCACGAGCCCAGCCCACGCCCACGCCCACGCCCCCTCAGCCTGCTGGCCCGGCTGTCCTCTGGCTGGGACCGTTCCTGTCTGTCCTGTGTGACGCTGCCCCCACAGGCAGGCAGGGTATGCAGGCAGGCTGATGCTGGTGGTGGCAGTGCCCCCTGGTGCCTGCACACTGATGCTGGTGGTGGCAGTGCCCCCTGGTGCCTGCACAGGGCCTTGGCTGTTCTCCCTATGGAGAAGCAGCTGGGCCACCCGGGGGCCTGGGACCAGCAGGCCCAGGCAGAGAGGCTGCACTGACCCAGGTGTGTCTGCCCGGACTCCAGGTGGAAGGAGGGAACAGGTGTGGGTGGGGCAGCTTCTGCTCATGCAGAGAGAGGAGCGGTGTGCTGTCTGAGGATGAAGAGATAAAAGCTTTGACAAGTGTGGTTTCACCTCCTTTAATGTTCTGTGGACCTGCACCGTCTTCCCGAGCACTAGGGAGCAGGACTGGGGCAGGGGTGTAGGAGCAGGGGGTTGGGGGCTGTCACAGCACACGGGGATCCGTCCCTGGGACAGCCAGGGAGGAACACCCCCATCTTGTGGGTTCCGGGGTCCTGTCTGGAGGCCCTGGCTGCCTCTCAGAGGCTAAGCCTCCTTCCCTCACGGGCTGTCTGCCCCACCTCAGCAGCGCCTGCATGGACCCCCGCTAGCACAGCTGCCTTCGCTCAGCACCCCTCGACCTCGTGGCACTGGCAGTCTGCCCTGGCTCTGCCCATTTTCTGCATCTCTTGGGCACCTCCTGTGACACCCAGTGGGTCCAGCGTCCATAGCTGGGTCATAACTGACTCAGGTGGGTTTTGGGGGCCTCCCAGTGCCTTGAAGCCCCTGTGTGGTGTCTCCAGAGGCCAGAAGGGAGGCAGCTGACAGCTCTGGGGAGGATGGGGGTCCTTGAGGGGATTGTCTGGGTGCTGGGACACAGGCAGGGCCCCCTTGCCGCACCCTGGAGCCCAGATCTGGGTGCTGAGGATGGGGACCTGTGGGAAGGTCCCTGTGGGGCCAGTTCCAGGCCTGCTGCTGGCCAGGGCTGAGGCCTGGTCCCTCTGAGGAGTTTCCCATGGAAGGCATGACCCCGCCTCTCCAGAGCCCTCCCGCTGCGCCCGGAGTTCCCTGAGGACGGGAGGGGTGTGCAGCCCAGACCCCCACTGCAGGAAGCACCACAGGAACTGAGAGCCCTTGACGGGGGCCTGACTGGGCCTAGGGCCGGGCTCCAGGGCCGTCATAGAGCAAGGTGTCCACCTGTGCCCGCTGCAGCCACAGGCGCCTCTGGGTGTCACCAAGCAGCACACGCAGGGAGTGGCTTGGGCGACAGGCGGGCAAGGCTGCACAATGGGCAGCATGCAGCTGGCGGCAGGTGTCACAGCAGAGCGTGGGCAGGGCACCAGGGCTCAGGCAGCTGTGTGTCTGGTAGCCTGGGAGCTCGGGGGCAGCCCCATAGGCAGATGCCGCTGTCCCCTCTGCCTCCCTGTGCCTGGGGCTGGCCCTCCCAGGGCTCCCAGGGGCTTCAGCAACACCCAGGTCCCCAGGCCGACTTAGCTCGTGGCGCAGCGAGAGAAAGGAGAAGGCGGAGGGCTCTGGCTCCAGCTCTTCTTCCAGGGCCCCGTAGGGTGGGCTGCCCGCCTGAGTCAGCGCCTCAGCTGGGGGCTCCCAGGTCTGTCCCCCAGTGCCCCATAGTTTGGCACTTTGCTCCCAGAGTGGTGGCCTGTAGGCCAGCTCCCCTGGGGGTGAGTCTGGGCCTGGTGAAGGTCCCCCATAAAGACTGGCCTCCTCCGAGCCTTCGTCCTCCTGCAGGTCCCGGTACAGGTCCAGCGGGGGTCTGTAGGCGGCAGGGGTGCCCCGCGGGGGCAGTGGTGGTGGCTCTGCATCCTGGGCCAGTCGCTGCTGCAGCCAGGCCACGCAGGAGGCCACATCCCCACTGGCCCTCCGTGCCCTCAGCAGCTCCTCCGCTGGCAGCACGCTGGTGCCCAGTTGGGCCAGCACCTCGCTCAGGATCTCACACTCGAGGCGGAGGGCAAAGCAGCCCAGGGCCACCTGCACCAGCTGCCGGGCTGGGGGTGGGGCTGTCACCATGAGGCGGTGGTCGTCCCTGCGCACGTAGCCCATCTTCTGGAAGCTCTTGGTCAGCAGCTCCTCTGAGAGCACGCCCTTCAGCACGTGCACGTAGCCGCCCGAGAAGGTCTGCAAGGGAGGGACCTGGTGAGCCCCGCTGCCTCCTGGAGGCCAGGCCTGAAGCCTGGGTCCACCCCGGGGCTGACCATGAAGACCAGAGCAAAACAGAGACCCCTAACACTGAGAAGTCCTGCCTCCCAGGTCCCTTCCATCTGTACCCCTGGAGACGCTGCCCCAGGAGCTGGGGACGCACCTGCTCAGACGGGGTTCCCCCAGTGTCTCGGGTCTCCCTGTCAGGAGAGACTGCCATCCCCCGTCGAGCTGTGTGCAGTCCCGCCTGCAGATGGGGCTCCAGCACTGTGTGTGTGTGTGAGACGGGTGGCAGGGTGCGCTCTGTGTGTGTGTGAGATGGGTGGCAGGGTGTGCTCTGTGTGTGTGTGTGAGAGACGGGTGGCAGTATATGCTCTGTGTGTGAGACGGGTGGCAGGGTGCGCTCTGTGTGTGTGTGTGACGGGTGGCAGGGTGTGTTTGTGTGTGAAAGACGGGTGTCAGGCTGCGCTCTGTGTGTGTAAGACAGGTGGCAGGGTGCGCTCTGTGTGTGAGAGACAGGTGGCAGGGTGCGCTCTGTGTGTGTGTGTGACGGGTGGCAGGGTGTGTTCTGTGTGTGTGTGACGGGTGGCAGGGTGTGTTCTGTGTGTGTGTGACGGGTGGCAGGGTGTGTTTGTGTGTGTGTGTGACGGGTGGCAGGGTGTTCTCTGTGAGACGGGTGGCAGGGTGTGCTCTGTGTGTGAGACGGGTGGCAGGGTGTGCTCTGTGTGTGTGTTAGACGGGTGGCAGGGTGCGCTGTGTGACAGGTGGCAGTGTGTTCTCTGTGAGACGGGTGGCAGGGTGCGCTCTGTGTGTGTGTGTGTCACAGGTGGAAGGGTGAGCTCTGTGTGCGTGTGTCACAGGTGGCAGGGTGCGCTCCAGACCACACAGGTGTGTGTAGAGCTAAAGGCTGCTAGGACAGTCAGGGGGCTGGGCCGTGACCCGGGGGCACCTGCAGTCCTCCGCCGTGCTTCCGCAGCGTGCCTCAGTGCACGACTCTGTCTCTTTCCCAGGAGTGAAACATGTTCAGGAAGATCAGGTACTGGTCCACAGCCGCACACCAGGAGCGGCCGGAAGCCAGCTGCTCCTGGCGTTGACGCCTCTAGGACAGGGGTCCGTTCTGTGCTTGACCCCAGGGGCGGCAGGCCCCTCCTTTCCTGTGTGAATGGAGGAATCAAAGTCCTAGAACCCCGTGCCAGCAGGTGTCCTGATAGAGCGGTGGCTCGGCTGCCATGGCAACCCGCGGGGGCGTATGTTGCCCACGTGCAGTGACGTCACCGCCTTCCTACTCTTCCCAGTTAGCTCTGAGCGCCAGCAGCCTCGCCCCCGCCTGCTGGCCAGCAGCGCGCTCAGAGTGGCCAGGCCCCGCTGTCCGCAGCCTCGGAACCGGTGGCCAGCACTCTCCCGTTTCGCAGGGGGCCGGCCTCAGCCTCCTCTATGGAAGTGGTCAGCCCACGTCCTGGTGGAATTAGGACCACTCAGGGACCTTAAGTCTCCCCTCTACACACACACCTCTGAACTTGTCCTAGAGTTTCCATGGCAACTATGCCCCGAGGTCCCCTTAGGGAGGACAGCGATAAAAGCAGGCGAGCACCCACATTCTCAGCCCCGGGACTGCCCAGGCAGACCTCAGGGCGCCCCCGAGGTCCCTCCGTGGGCTGAGCACCCTGCAGACACCTGAAACCCAGTCCCACCTTGATGGTGGTGAACTCCTTCCTCCAGGGCAGCAGGTACAGGTGCACGGCGGCCAGCTCCAGCAGCTCGAAGGCTCGGGCCAGGCCGTGCAGCGCGGGCGCCAGGTCGGCGCGGCCCCACAGCCCGTCGGTGAGCAGCGCCAGCGCGTCGTCCTGCAGCGCCCCGTGCAGGTCGAAGTCCTCGACCAGGATGTGCCAGAGCACGGCGCGCAGCGAGGGATCCCCGCACACGCCCGCGCGGCCGCGCCGCAGCTCGCGCTCCAGGCACAGGCGGTAGTCCTCGGACAGCGAGCTGCTGCCCATCCTGCCGGCGGGAGCGCGGTGTGAGGCCGCGCCCCGCCGGCTCAGCGCCCCCAGCCCACCCAGCCCCGCCGGGGGAGCCAGCCTCCGCCGGCTCAGCGCCCCCAGCCCACCCCCCGCCAGAGGAGCCAGCCTCCGCCGGCTCAGCGCCCCCTGCCCACCCCCCGCCAGAGGAGCCAGCCTCCGCCGGCTCAGCGCCCCCAGCCCACCCCCGGCCAGAGGAGCCAGCATCCGCCGGCTCAGCGCCCCCAGCCCCCCCCCCGCCAGAGGAGCCAGCCTCTGCCCGCTGAGCGCCCCCTGCCCACCCAGCCCCGCCAGAGGAGCCAGCATCCGCCCGCTCAGCGCCCCCTGCCCACCCCTCGCCAGAGGAGCCAGCATCCGCCCGCTGAGCGCCCCCTGCCCACCCAGCCCCGCCAGAGGAGCCAGCATCCGCCCGCTGAGCGCCCCCTGCCCACCCAGCCCCGCCAGAGGAGCCAGCATCTGCCCGCTCAGCGCCCCCTGCCCACCCACCCCTCGCCAGAGGAGCCAGCCTCCGCCCGCTGAGCGCCCCCTGCCCACCCAGCCCCGCCGGAGGAGCCAGCCTCCGCCCGCTGAGCGCCCCCTGCCCACCCAGCCCCGCCAGAGGAGCCAGCCTCCGCCGGCTCAGCGCCCCCTGCCCACCCAGCCCCGCCGGGGGAGCCAGCATCGGCCTGCTGAGCACCCACAGTCCACCCAGCCCCGCCGGGGGAGCCAGCATCCGCCCGCTCAGCGCCCCCCGCACCCTCAGCCCAGCCCCGCCGGGAGATCCAGGCCCTGGCCGCTGAGCGCCCAGGTGTCTACGGCTGTCCCCTTCCTCGAAGACCCGCTCGCGCCTTCTGAGCCTCCTCCTCCGCCCACGACCTCGGGCTCTGGATCCCACGGCCGAAAGCACTACCTGTCTGTCCCCGGGGTCCGGCAGCCGCCACCTCTGTGCGCCGGCCTCCTCCTCGGCACGCGCTTCCGCGGGACGCGGCTCCGCCCACAGGCCGTGACGTCGAGGGGCGGGAGGGCGTCACGTGCAGCCTCCTCGGAGGGCGGGGATTGGCCGGCTGTTGGGGGGCGGGGCCGCGGCGCTCGGGGCGGGCGCCATTCTCGAACTCCGGAGCCGGGGCGGCGTGTGCGGCTCCCGGCGTGGGTCGCGGGCACCTGGGGAGTGCGCCAGCGGGCGGCAGGTCCGTCTCCGCCTCTCGGGTACACGCGGGCCACTCGGGCCGTCCGGGGCCGGCTGAGGAGAGCGGCGTCCAGGAGCACCGGCCTCAGCGCGCGGCCGGGACTGACCTCCCCGGCCCAGGATAACGCGAGGCGGGCTCCTGAGAGTCCCCTGGGCCCCTCCCGGGCCGCCCAGGCGCGAGCGCCGGGACCGAGGGCCGTCCCGAGGGAAAGCGGGTTTGCTCTCGGAACTTGCGCCCGGCAGGATTCGCCGCCGGGGAGACTTCGGGGCTGCCGCGGACGGGCAGCTCGGCGGCGTGAGCCCGTGAAGACAGCCCGAGAGGCGGGGGCCCGGCTCCGCTTCCTGCAGTGCACGCCCGGGAGCCCGCGGTGCCGCATTCTGCCCGCCGCCCACGTGGGAAACCGCCTAGACTTTTGGGATCCTGTTACTGGCGTTTGGGGGCAGGCCAACAAAGGGGAGCCGTTTCTGTCTGCTCGCAAGTAAATTCAAATAAGGAAGTGAACGTTTTCAGCAGAAATCGAGGGGCCGGTGTCGTGGGCTCCGGGAGCGCCGCTCCAGGTCCTGGCTGCTCCGCCTCCCACTCGTCTTCCTGCCTGCGCGTCTGGTGGGCCCGCCACCTGGGAGACCGAGCTGGAGTTCCTGGCTCTTGGCTTTGGCCTGGTTCTGACCTGTTGTGGCCATTTGGTGAGTGAACCAGTGGATAGAAGATCTCAGTCCCTCTGTCCTTCAAATAAATAAGGAATCTTTAACAAGCAAATAGAAAAATGGACACAGATGCACAGGGAAGGGGCAGACCAGAGCGATGCAGCTCGGAGCCAAGGACTGCGTGGGTTTTCGGAAGCTCCCAGGGCAGATGCAGGCGAGGGAGGGGCCTTCTGGGCCTCAGACCGGTGCAGCCTGTGGGCGCTCGGCTCACATTTCTGCCTCGCAAAGCTCTTGAGATTCTGAACTTGTTTTAAGCCACACATTTTGTGATACTTTGTTAGGGGGCGTCCCAGGATACTCACATATTCTGTGTACTCCATTTATTTAGTGCTGGGTAAGTGACACTGACAGCCGGGGTCAGGCTGCAGTGTCAGATCGACAGCTGGGCCTGGCCATCTGCGGGCTGCCCCAGCTGGAGCCCAGCCACACAGTGACAGCTGTGTGATAGCCAGTGTTGAGGCCTGGGTCATCTGTGTTCAGTTTCCTTCTCGGCTCTCCTAGGGCCGACATCCCCCCGCCCCCCGTTTGCACACACATCCTGCTGTTGGACCTCGGTCCACACAGTTTCCAACGCCCTCAGAAGGTGGAGGCCATCGCTAGGTCTGAGGCCATTGGTCCCTGCCTTGGCCCAGGACTGCCTGCTGGTTCCTGCCCCCACCACCGCACACATCCCCACACCGTGTGTCCAGTGTCACCAGTCTGATGGGTCTGAGGTTGTGTCTTGTTTTAATTCAAATCTCTTGGTTTCCGCTGTCATCTCAGCCTCTCTTGGGTTTGTTCTTACCGTCTCCGCAGACCACCTGTGGCCTGGCTGTCTTCCTACGTGGGGTCTTCAGTTCTTGCTGATTTGTAGGATTTCAAACAGGAATATTCTATGATTCTGTGATGCTTCTTGTTTCTTTTAGGTGGCACCGCGGGCTCAGTCAGGCTGAAGGACCAGCTCAGAGCCACACAGCGAGCACCAGCTGAGCACAGCCTTACCCCACCGTCAGGACGCGGTCCTCCCTCACAGCTCCCAGCTGCAGGTGTGTGCCCCGAGCACCCCCCGCCAGGGCTGCCCTCGTCAGGGTGCTCCTCCTCTACTGCTCCAGGAAGTGCGGCCTCAGAACTGCGCTCTGGACACAGCGCCGCGGCCGGCAGCAGGCTGTCACCTTCCCACCCTGCCCTGCCGAGGCATGTCCAGGTCCAGGAGCCCAGAGTTCTACAGCACAGTGCCAAGATCCAGATTTAGAACTCGATCCAGCACAAGCTACGGAGATTAACGTCCCTCAGGGGCTGTGGAGTGTCCGGGAGTCAGGGCAGGCTGGGGCCCCGGCCCTCGGCTCTCGTCTGCAGAGAGCCGGGGCCCCGGGGACTTTGCAGCCCAGCTGGGTGCCAGCTGTTTGTTCTGGGGCGCTGGGTGAGGGGCTGACCCTAGCCCTCAGAGGCTCCTCTAGAGGACAGTGGCCCCAGGGACTCAGGTTGTCCTGCTCCTGGGGTCAGCCCCCGGCATGCATGGCACAGGCTGGCCTTTGGTTTGAATCAGGGTTCAAGCCAGCTCTGCTGCCCACGGGGGAAGATGCACCACCTGTTTGCTCACAGGGGCCTTGTGAGAGGCAAACCAGGTGTTCCTTACAGAGACCTGGGAACAGAGCGCTGGGTAAGTGCCAGCTGCTTGTGTTTGACAAGAGCGTTGCTGCAAGGAGCCCCTATGGCCAGCTCCTTGGGGAGTCTGGGGTTGGGACCCTCCCACCACCTCCCTGTGGAACCCATGTTGTCTGAGGCCCTTCCTTTTCTTGCTCTACCCAGGACTCCCTGGCAGATGCTGTCCGTGCCTGGCTGCCTGCTCCTCTTCTCCCGAGGGCCGCGTTGCTGTCAAGGGGCATTTCTGCTGGAGTCCCCTTCTGTGGCACAGTGACTGCTGGGAGGCCTTCAGGTGAGTGCTGTGGGCTCAGGTCTTCAGTGGGGACCTCCACCCTGGCTCCCTAATGCCCGGTAGAGCTGTCCAGTCCTAGAGGGTAAAGCCCATAGCCACCTGGCCAGGTACAGCCCCCGCGGATCCTGCGCCTGTGCAGGGCGTCTTGGGTGACTGTGGCTCCTACCACCTGTCCTGAGCGGGCCCTCTGGTGGCCAGCAGTGAGATGCTAGGCCAGCCGAGCCTCGGCCTCAGCACTACTGGGGGGGGGGGACTGAGCAAGCCGCACAGAGCCAGACAGCAGTGACCTCTTTATTTTAGGTTAGGCTGGGCTGGCAGCAGCCGCACAGGAGGTGCTCCATGGGCTCACGCTGGCCGGGGAAAGGCTGTCTGGGGCTAGGGGTTGGTCGAGGGTCCTGGATCGTTCACTGCCCACTGCCAAGGTGAGTCAGGACAGGGAGTGTCCTAGGCCTGGGGTGGGTGTGCGGCTCAGAGTCCCAGGCCTGGCCAGTGTAGGTGAGCAGGGCAGTCACTGCCCTGTCAACAAGCAGCACAGACTCGCGCCAGTGGCACCCTAGGGCCCTGGGGAGGGGTGGCAGGCTCTCCATCCTGGCTCATAGGAGCTTTGTTCTAGGAGTGGGATAGGGTGCGGTGGCACAAACCAGATTCTGGCTGTGGGCCGTGAGCCTCCCTGATGACCCTGCAGGTCACCCTGTCCACAGGGGGCCAGGCCCAGCCAGATGCTCACTGCAGGGTCCTCACCCACTGCTGCAGGCCCCAGGGAGGCAGCAGCCCCAGTCCCTCATGGGGCCTCAGAGGCAGGTGCAGGAGAGATCAGGGCCTGGTTGCTGGGAGCTGGTTTGGCCCCATCTTGCTGGGCGGACAGGAACTGCCCCAAGCCTCCGGGGGCAGATGCAGGGTTAGGAGGAGGGCAGGAGCTGGGGGCCCCACCACAGCAGCCCTGCCCCCCAGTGTCCTGCACTAGGTGTGCAGGGCAGCGTGGAGGCCACTGGACAGTCCTCAGGGGCACTGAGGCTGGGTTCTTCAGCAGAAGTCTTAGGGTCCTCCACTACTTGCCCAGGGGCCCCTGGGGCAGCAGCTCCACATAGCTCAGGGCGCTCTGTAGTGACGTCAGGCAGTAGCCCTCCTCTCCAATCAGGTACCTGTGTGGGGGAGCAGCAGGGGCACCCGTCAGCTGGAGAGGATGAGGGTGGCCCCCAGGCTCTGGACAGCAGAGGTTCATGGGGCCACAGGGAGGGCAATGTGGGAAGCTGGACTGGGGAGTCCTTGGGTGACAGAGTGGGGAGGCCCTCCAACAGTGATGGGCCCCCCCAGACAGATGCTGCCAGGGGGACAGACAGCCCCTTGGCCCTGTCTAGGGTCTGCTGGGCCAGGGCCATGGGATGAGCTGGCAGGGAGCACCCTGTGCACAGGGGGGCCTCGGGCTTTCCTGAGGTGTGCCTGCCCCGCCCGGGGGCCCGCGTCGCCTACCCCTCGTGGATGAACTCCTCCAGGGCCGCACACTCCGACACCAGCTGTGGGAGGCCGCTCCTCAGCACCACAAAGGACAAGATGGGCAGCAGGTCATCAGCACCACTGTGGGCAGCAACAGCAGCTGCTGGGCTTGGGCCTCGGCTGGCCTTGGCCTTGACAGCTGCTCTCCCTGTACCCCCACTGGCAGTACAGGGCCACCTGGGAGTGGCAAGGCTGGAGCCCCTGTGCTGTGGCGTGGAGACTGGACCAGTGGCAGCCCCTTCCTGCTTCAGGCTGCACCAACCGCCAAGCCCTGGGGGGACCTGAGTGGGCCGATGGAGGGAGGGCTCCCTGTCCATAGCCCACTCACTCCCCAGGGGAGAGTGGTTACCCCTGTACAGCAGTTCTGGACAGGAGACTGGGGTCACGGGTCCCCATACTCGCTGCAGGGAAGGCCCATGTGTGCTGAGTAGGGGAGAAAATGAGACCCTCGAGACTGGGGCTGGAGCTTGACCCACTTTACCGCAGACCAGGGAGCCCCAAGGCCAGGACTCCCACACACCCAGCCCTGGCAGTATTTTATACAGTGGATGAAGAGGATCCATGGGAGCCAGACCGGCTTGACCAGACCCTGCAAGCTGACCCTGGCGGGGACCATTTGCTCCCTCATGTTGCACTGACCACATCCCCTGCAGGCTCCTGGATGCGGGCCAGGGCCACAGCCCCGCTGCCTGCAATGGCAGGTGAATCAAGGCTGAGCCCGTCAGCCCAGCTGAGAGTGGGGGAGACTGAGATGGGATCGGGCACCACAAAGCCTCGTGGCTGCAGGACTCAGGTGAGGAAAGCCAGCCTCCACCTGAAGAGCAGGTTTGGGCAGGGCGTCCCTGGCTGGGAGGCCGGGATGGGGACTGGGCCCTTTAACAGGGCTTGGGTGGCTTCAGAGGGGTGCAGCTCCCCTCATGTGACGCACAGCACAAGCGTGAGCACCTGGGAAGAACCCCACAGTTCACCAGATCAGCCAGGAAGCCCCAGAGCCCTGAGCAGCCCTGCAGAGCAGCCCCGCCAGGAGGGGCTGTGCGGTCCTGGCTGCTGCAGCCTTGACCTTACCCGCCAGAGCGCAGGGTCCTCGGTGCAAACTGGCTAGGCTCGCTCTCGGGTACTGAGCCCCATGGGGGCTCATGGAGCAGCAGAGCTGTGGGGGCCCTGGGGGCCAGCAGGACTGCCCCTCCCGGCTGTGCCCACACCACTAGCCCTGGGGGACTCACATGGCGGCAGCGGCTGCAGGCGTGGGCGTGGCCTCGGGCGTGGCCTCCTGGGCGCGGCAGTAGTCTTCTGCACAGACACAGATGGCTCGCAAGGCGCGCACTGTGCACATAAATGGGGCTTCAGGTGTGCCCGCGCAGCTCCTCCTCGGCTCCGGGCCGTGCCTGTCAGTGCTGGGGTGGGGCCTCCCTCCCCACACCTGCCTCCCCACCTCCTCACCGATGCACTCCAGCTTCTTCTGGGGGCAGCTCTCCAAGACCAGCAGACCGAGCTCCTGGGCTGCTGTGCAGTAGGGGTAGGCGGCAGCCCCCTTGGCCTGTGGGTCCCTGGGGAGGAGTTTGGGGGGGACGCCAACGGCTGTTGGGGGTGCATTCCTGTAGAGCTCCATGCTCCTGCTCAGCGCCACCTCGCGGCCACGGTGCACACTCCTGGGGCAGAGAGCCACACTCAGTTGCCCAAGGCTGCCTGGGCAGGGGCGGGGCGTCCTGGGGCTCAGCCCTGGGGAGAGTTGGCATGCATCCTAAGCCAACAGCCCCGCTGTCCGGAGAATGGTGTCAGAGGTTGAGTGATGTGAAGGAGTGACTGGGGTAGGCCCTGGGGGCACAGGCCCTGGGAGACACCAGGTCACGTGGGTGGCTGGCTAGGCTGCAGCCCAGCCCATACCTGTAGAGGGCCAGCAGCAGGGGCCACAGCGGGGAGAAGAAGGGCTCCTCGATGCAGGCCAGGCAGCGGTCCTTGCAGGCTGCTGTGTTCAAGCTTTCGAAGGCCAGAAGGGTCAGTGACAGCAACCTGTCTGCCGGGAGCAGCGCCAGGAGTGTCAGGGGGTCCTGCCTCCGGCTCATGGTGAGGGGCTCGGCCCAGTCCTCCCCCAACTTGTCTTCAAGTCCGCCCCCCTCCGGCCCTTCCTGTGTGGCCTGCAGCTGTCCTGCACCTTCTCCCTGGGGGCCAGGACCACCTGCTGACCAGAGGCACTAACAGGCAAGTCTCCTCTCCAAAGAGAAGACTGACATGGACCAGGGCAAACAAGTGAGGATGAGCAGGCCCCACTTCTCCCACCTCCCAGTGAGGACTCAGGGAGCGAGGACTCGCACACAGCCACACCTGCTCTCTGAGGGAGAGCCAAGTGCCTGGCCCTGTGGGGAGGTGGACAGAGGGCTGTGATGGCAGGGCCGGCCTGGCTGGCTTGCAGGGCAGGCTCCCTGGCCAGCTGTCGTTGCTGGCCGCCAGGCACCTGCGGGCCTCACCGATGGCGCTGTGTATGTCCTTCACAGTGCTCTGCAGCCGCTCTAGCAGGGGCTCCCTCTTCACCCCTGGGGGCTGTGGCTCAGGCTGCCCTGCAGGGCCCCGACTCCACCTCTCAGACGTGGCCAAGAACTGTTCCAGGTCTTCGAAGGAGCTGTCCTTGTCCGGCAGGCGGGTGGAGGTGTCCGGTGAAGGTGAAGGAGGCCCAGCAGGGCTGTCGTCTGCCTCCCTGTCTGGGGGCCCAGGATGGAGCGGGGGTGTGGGAGGAGTGGCAGGGGGGCCGTCTGGCAGCCCTGGGGCTGTGCTGGGCTCTGGAGGGGACAGCATGCAGTACAGGCTCTGTGAAGCCCGGAGCCGCCGGCTCCCAGGAGCCAGCAGCCCGTCGGTGTCTGGGGGTAGGGAGCAGCAGCCTGGGGCGGCCCTGCTCACGACGGGGTACAGCGCGCCGTACACTGCACACTGGAGCCTCTTCAGGAGCTGTGAGATCGGGTGGTCGGGCAGGCTGCAAGGAGGACAGGGGGTGGGGAGGAGGCAGCAGGCACCACGCCCACCCCTGCCCCCTCTCAGCACTGAACATGAGTGCCAGTGGCCTCCCCCGGAGCTGGAGGGGCTGCAGTCCACCCACCGGCCTTTGACCTAGGGGCTGAGAAACCTGGCCTTGGGCCCACGTGTGTGACATGCACCTGTCTACACAGAGGCCACACTCGGAAAGCTTTCTGAGAAGGGACTCGGGCGTCGCTTACTGTAGGTGGGTGCTCAGGTATCGTGTGCCTCATCCCATTGAGGGGGTGGGAGGGAGGCAGTGAGAAACAGTTAGGGCAGAGGCAGCTGGGCAAGGGTGGCTGCAGCACTGTCCTCTCTGTGAGAGCCGGGAGCCTCAGAGGCCTGCTGTCCCACCCGGCTGCCCGTCCAGCCTCCTAATGAACTTCCTTCCTAAGCCCTCTCCATGTTACTCGGCAACAGGGTGCGGAGCCCAAGGCTGGCAGACGGGCTCTGTGGGGAAGGGTACCTGAGCAGGTGGGAGACCAGGCTGGTCACCAGTG